AAACAAAGTTATAAAAAAACAAGAAAGGAAAGCTAACTTCGGGCGGAGCCGAAGTTGAAATACCCTTGCAGTTAAACCCGGATATATATCGCAATCATCGGATATAGTTGGTCGATCCTTATGATATGATGATAATATAACCCAATTTATTATAATATAAAATCTTAAAAAGGTCCCAACCTTCTATCTTCAAAAATACCAATGTTGGTATTTCTACCAAAACCATTTCCGATCGTTCAGTTATATCGCAGCTTTAAGATATTGTCAGACGATCGTTATAATATTTTTATAGGTCGGATTAACTGACCAAAAATATAATCTGTACCAAGTTCCAGCTTTCTATCTTCAAAAACACGAAAGTTGGGTCATTTCCGATCGTTCAGCTATGTGGCAGCTATAGGATATAGTTGGCCGATCCTTATGAAGTTTGGTAGATCGGATTAACTGACCAAAAATATAATCTGTACCAAGTTCCAGCTTTCTATCTTCAAATGTGGGTTATTTTCGATTGTTCAGTTATATCGCAGCTAGAGGACATAGTCGGCTGATCCTTATGAAATTTGGCATGTCGTATTATTTTGCCAAAAATAGCTCTCATGTAAAATTTGAACTTCCTAACTCAAAAAACCCCATTTCCTGTGTTTTTCCTAACAACCATTTCCGATCAATCAGTTATATGGCAGCTATAGGATATAGTCGGCCGATCCCGGCCGTTCCGACTTATATACTGCGTGCAAAGGAAAGAAGGGTGTGTGCAAAGTTTCAAGTCGATAGCTTTAAAACTGAGAGACTAGTTCGCGTAGAAACAGACAGACAGACAGACGGACATGCTCATATCAACTCAGGAGGTGATCCTGATCAAGAATATATATACTTTATAGGGCCTTCACTGCGTTGCACACTTTTGGACAAAATTATAATACCCTCTGCAAGGGTATAAAAATTAATAAATGAAAAAAATTTAGACCAGGGGTGGGCAAGCTCTCATTTTCAGTGTTAAGAAATTCTGCAGCAGCGCTGAAGGCACAGTGTCAGTGCATTATGCCTCAGACCAAAGATTATAAAGTACATAGATGGGACATCAGGGCCCAAAAGGGTCAACTTTTTGCGTCGAGCTTGTTGGTGAGGGGGGAACGCACATGCATACGATTCTATTTTTAGAACTCTTTACATGTATCCGTCAACAAAAATGTGAACCTATGTGTGTATGTGTGAATGCTCGCACGACGGAGTAAAAATGTTTTGGCTTCCAAACTTCAATTTCAATTTCGCGTTTCTGTTTTCGATTCGCCGATGTGGTAGTTGGTGGAAAAAATTGTATTTTTGATCAATGCAGTTCAAGACAGGATGGTAGCGTAATGCATAGAGTAGTTACTCTATGTGTAATTTTTCTGTGTTCAAATCCTCGTTAGGACTTTGAACATTTTCTTTCTTTTATAATTATTATTATTATTTTTTTTTTAATTGTTATATTTTTCTTTAATTTTACAATTGTAAAATTGTTTAATTCTTCATTATGTCCCGCTAATAAAATGCTAATAAAATTTCAAGGGAGTCCTTCCGGTATTTCGTCATCCGACACGTCCGTCACTTATTTTTACAACTGTAGTAGAATGCAATTAATAAAAAAAAAATAATAAAAAAAAGTAAATCTAAAAATAATCATAAAACTAAAACTTGATCAAAATTGAAACAACCGCCCGCTAATGAAATCGAACCCAGGACCCCATGAATAAGGACCACGCATTATCCATCAAGGCTACCCTCGAAGTTGATTTTGTGATACTTAAAATTGGTGTTAAAGGAGGCGCTAGAATCTATAGCAAAAACAGAGCTGACGAGTAAGGATAGTAAAAGATATTTCTGATCTCTTTACTCTTACATTGGTTCCATTACAACGTTTCAAACTTTCATCGTTCCAAAGATGTTACGATCTAAAAATAGAATTCTCTCTCTCCCTATCTCATCTGCCAGCCGTTTGTCGTGGAACCCGCTCTCAAATGTTTTCATTATTACAGCGGGTTCCACGACGGAAAAAATGAAAACATTTGAGAGCGGGTTCCACGACGCGGCCTGCCAAAATGCCGTAGAACCCGCACTTATAGACATTTTTACAGCGGGTTCCACTACGAACTGAGGCAATGTTAAAATGATTTTATAATTTTGTATTTTTTTTTATTGGATTATAAATTTAGGAAAACACATTAAAATAATAAAACAATAATATAAATAGATTTAAAATTAAAAAAAAAATTGACTTCCCGAGCCAGGTTTGAACTCGTTTTACTTTGTACACCAGCCAAGCACTCTACCACTGGGCTATTCCTCATTCTTTGTCGCGCGAAAAATTTCTCAAACTTAACTTGTCGCGCAATGGAACCCGCTCGTTCCAGCGGGTTCCACTGCTGGAACCCGCCATAGAAAATTTTTCTTTGTATGAGATGTCCCATCTATGTACTGTATAATCTTTGCTCAGACAATAAATTTTTTGGCAAAAGAAATTTGTTTAACCTTGGAAATTGGAAATAAATTGATACGAGAAATTGATGCGAGAATCATAAACATAAATTTTTATAGAGGCGCCACTGTTGTTACATATTGTGCAAAAGGGTGAGCATTGTTCAATGTTTAAAATTTTAAAAGCTTACTGTAATATGTAAAATAATAGTTTTTTGAATCGTGATTGTCAGAGTGTAATTTTTCTACCATTCTGTGGAATAGGGAACCTTCAAAAAACAAATTAAGGTTTTACAAATAACACAGTGCGACAGTGATTTGGAACTTTTGAAGAGACCTAGTAGGAATTGTTCGTTAGGTCGAATATAGTATAAAACCGTGTTTGAAATTTTTCTAACACCCTCAAAATCTTGATTTATTTAGAACGCTAGCAAGATTGGACTGACTTGTTTTGGGAAAATCGTTATAACTTCACCAATTTTCATAATTTCCAAATGAAATTGGTCTTGTTTTATTCAGAATTAACGAGACAATATTGATATGTGTCAAAAATGATACCATTTTTTGAAAGTTGCACCGAAAAAATGGCGTCAAAGTCCGAAAAACACGACAAAAATTCAAAAATGTCAGTTTCCTGCGTACATATTTTATCCTTTTTGTTGAAATAAATTAAAGATCTATTTTTTTCAAAAGCTACAACATTTAACTATTAAAAAACGTCAACAATTTTAAAATCGGGTTAAAATTACGCGCTTAGGAATTTTTAAGAGCAAAAAAGTCCCGAAAAACCGTTTTTTCTAAATAAATCAAGATTTAGAGGGTGTTAGAAAAATTTCATACACGGTTTTATACTATATTCGACCTAATGAACAATTCCTACTAGGTCTCTTAAAAAGTTCCTCCAATTTTTTTATTTTTGTCGCACTGTGTAATTATGTTGAAAAAAGTATAACCGACCAATTCTCATATCAAACGAGATAAATTTCATGTCTCATTTTCATATTGCGAGAATCATATTTTCATATTATATTTATATTTTATATTGCGGTCATTATTTTACTAAAATCTTAAATAAATAATTTTTGTTTTTAAAAAATTATAAAATTATTTATTATTTAAAAAAAAAATTTTATTTTTTTTAGGTATAGAAATAACTTTTTAAGAACTTTTAAAATTGATTATATTTTATATTTATGTTTTATTTTATTTGTTTAGAAGCTCTCTCCTTTGCTCTCAATTTGACTCTCTTGACAACCCTAACTTTTCAGTAAATATAAAAAGAGAGGCGTAGTTTTTTATTTGTTTAAGAACTGTTAAAGAAATTTTAAAAATTTAATTTTAAAAGTCTTTAAAAGACATTTAGAATAGACATTTGGCTGGAGATGTCAATTTACCTACATGGCAATGTTTTGACAAAAATTATCTTTTCTATCTTCTTATCTTCTTAAATTATATTATATCTAGAAAATTATCTGACAAAAATCAATAATATTTGTGCATTGGTTCAGATCAGACACTAAATCAACTTAATAAAGACACCAGATCAATTTTTAATTATTCGACTATATATTCGACGCGCGCACTCATAAGCTAGCGGTTTGTACCTCGTTAATTGGCAGCCATTATAATTACTTTATATACACTTCATATAATATTTGTGCAAACGAAGAAGGGAAGTTCCCTTCCCTTTCAACTATTATAATCAATATTTTTATCCTTTTTTTAACTTTTCATTAAACGACTTTCTCGAAATAAGAAACGCATTCACGCAATATACCAATTTCTTGCATCGTCGTACGGCGGTTAAAAATGTTTCATTGGTCATTTTAGCTACAAAAGTGTAGTTGTAGTTGGCAAATTTAACAACGTTGGCTCATAAACTTAAGCCTCGCTTGCTACTGGGTAAAAGTTTTTCTCTACAATTTTGTTTTGTATTTTCTTGCTTTTTGGTTGCTGCTGGATTTCTCTTACGCAAGAAATTGTATAGAAATCATTAGCTTGGAATCCTGTGCATATTAAACATTTTAAATGAGAGTATCTATGATTAAATCAATAACACAGTGCGACAGTGATTCAGAACTCTTGAAGAGACCTAGTAGGAATTGTTTATTAGGTCGAATATACATAGTACAAGACAGTGTTTGGAATATTTCCAACACCCTCAAAATCTTGATTTATATCAGAGGTCGGCACTGCCCTATCTCGGGTGCATAGGAAATTTCTCTGCCCGAGCTCTGCCACACACACACAGTATACATGTGTGAAACGTCATTCTCACAGCCTACTTTCTGCTTTTCGTTACTAACACTAATGCGGTAAAATCATATTAATGTATTGGGGTGCCGACCACTGATTTATATAGAAAAACCGTTTTTCGGGACTTTTTTGCTCTTAAAAATTCGTTAACGCGTAATTTTAGAGAATAGTTAAATGTTAAATGTTGTAGCTTTTGAAAAAAGCTGTATGGTTAGTGGCACTATGTAATACGGAACAATAATAAAAAAAAAATCAATTAAGTCAACAATAAAAATCCATAATACTACCGATATTCTCTGCAAAACTGTCTTTACGGAAGTCCATCTGTCTTTTCGCCGATCCACAATCAAATGGAACCCCAGATCAGCATCCTGTAACCTATATGTATATTTAAGTTAGTGCGAATAAATAATTAAACATTTGATTAAATTTTTACTTACGATGGAACTGATGTTATATACAAAATCAACTTTTGATAATCTTCTTCTTCCAATAAATTAAAATTGTTGTTATCCGGGAATACAATCAAAGGGCAGCCATCGATCGATCGCCCACCAGTTATAATAACATACTGTGAATGCAATAAGTCAGCAACATCCGATATATTTAATACACCATCGCCGCTCATTGCAGATGTGGGAGTAATAATTGCTGTAAGATTTTTGAATGCTTCTGTTGGTAGTTGATCATTGGCATTGATTGCTAATGCATTTTCTAAATTGGGTTTTAAATTAATTGAGACATAATGTGATGGTGAATTTAAAGAGGATACAATAAAAGTATCCTGAATGGGAGTGTCGCTGCTTTCTAAAACTGAAGAATCGTCCAGAATCGCCCGACAGAATTTTATTTGGGATTCGCCGAATGACTTTACGTCCGTACCTGAAATGAGTAACCTCATTGTTAAAACTTTTCTTTGTTTTTTACTAGATATATACAAATTTTTACAGACTGCTTATTTATGAATAATGTAAATTTCTTATACTCCTACATCTGTGATTTTTTAATTTTTTAATGTTATGCCTTCTTTACTTTATAAGTAGAGTTGTAATAAGATAATTGATATTTAATCATATGCATTTTTCATATATATCGAAAATACATTTTTTTTTTTGGTATTTTATCACATTTATTTCAGCTGTTTTTTGATCAGTTAGCAATTGGTTTCCTTTGGCTTCCGTATCTGATAAATATGTATATTCACATTTTATTAACTTCAATTTATTCCGTGAAATCACTTCCGCTGGAAAAATTCTAAATTTTACTCAGTGGTGACATATTGCATTTTGGCTAAAAATCTTAAGCTAAATCATTCAGTATTATTATTATGTCATTTTTCGAAATCGGGCCACCGTTGCTCAATTTTTAATTCGAATTTGCCATATGTGATATGGCTATATATATAAATAAAGGAATAATATATATAAAAAAACATATTTAATAACTCAAAAAATTTAAACCTTTCTTGTGGTAAAAAAAATGTAAAAATTTAAATGTAAACATCTATTGTGCCATTTATGAAAACATTTTTTGTGACGTTGTTAACCAATTCATAATAATTAATACGATTCGTTTGAACAAAATCAAATATAATTAATAAAAGCAAGGCTTCAGTATTTTTTTGTGTTGATTAAGTAATTTGATTTAAAACAAGAATGGTAGGCTAACTTGATATAACGGAGCCAAAGTTGATGTACCGTTGCATATATGATCGGATAAAAATTACAAATATCGGTTATAGTTGGCCGATCGTAAAAATTTATGGTAAATATGTGTACCAAATACCAATTCCGATCGTTCATTTATATGGCAGCTATAGGATAATGCCGACCGAGCCTTATGAAATTGGGTACGTCGTATCATTTTGCCAAATATAAAATCAAGTATGAATCCCTACTCTCTATCTCTAAAAACACGCAACTCTAAAAGAACATCAGTTATATGGCAGCTATAGGGTAAAGTCGAACAAAAGTTAAGAAACAAATTATATGGCAAAAAAAAATCCATAAAATCCCACCTCTCTAATTCTAAAACTGGTTTTTTCGATTAATCCAGTAAAATTTGGCCGATACTTGTCCAACGGCTAAAATTTGGGAAATGAACATTCGTTAGATTCGTTACTAATACTAATGCGTTAAAATTAAATCAATGTATTGGGGTGCCGACCACTGCCCAATGTCACTAACCATACAGCATATAGACAACCCATTTCATACAACGAAAATGGACGCGAAAATTTCTTGCGACAGGCCCCAGCAGGCCCCAGAGCGGATTTCTTACGCTCTCTTACGCTCATCGTTCGTTCATCTTACGCTCATTCTCGCATTAAATGTTTTCTGTTTCTCAGTCTCTAAACGGAGCGCGATGAAGAAGGTTGGCCTGCGCTTCGGTTGATCTTCGTATGTATGCGTGTCACACATTCACATACATGGGTGTATGTGTGCGTGCGATTTCGTTTCGAAGCCAGCGCACAAAATTTGGATTTTTCTTACTTTTCAGGCTTGCTACCCTAACAAAATTCGGGTATTCGTATTTGATGAAATGACGAAAGAAATTATATTATTTTTTTTATTATTTCAGCATACGTTTTTAATTTATTTAGGAATAAGATTAAGTGTTAGTAGTAAAATGTTTTCTGTATATATATTTTTACGAATCATTAAAAATCAATATACTGAGAAAGTGTCAGAGTATATTTCAGTCGGAGTCACTTAAAACGCCTCTTGCAGAACAACAAAAACTTAAAAGCATTCGACGTAACAGCTGGAAAAAACATTGTCCATATGAAACGTGGGAGTTTTAATAGTGCGCGAGGCTACAGGCTGTACCAATGAGAATTTAAAAAAAAAATTCTCGGCCGTTGAGAATATATCGCTGTGAAACATCTCACCTACCCGCTTGGCATTTCGGATAGTATCTTGCCCATTTTTGGAAAGTAATAGTCGAGCAAAACCTGCTTTACATTTTCCTGGGCTGTTTTGTGAGCCCTGTTGCTCCGTATGCGCACGTTTCAGCGTTTAGCAAATGTGAGCGACTGATAGTCTCTTTTTTCTCATGCCATAGGCTCCCTCTCATTTGTGACGTAGTTTACTTCCTTCAGCGTTCGATGTCAAGTCAAATCTGGGTAGTGTCGAAATTCATTTTCAGAGGCAAGAAATTAGATTTGGATACCTCCTTCAGTGGTAATATTTCGATATATTGGCCCACAGACCCCCAACGACTGCCGGACCTTCTCGACTTCGCCATCTCCCATGGAATCCATCCGGACTCCATAGCCTGCTCGGCAAATAAAGATCTCTTCTCTGATCACAGTGCGGTGGAACTCTACATTAACACCCCTGTAGAGAAGAAAGTCGCCCGACTCAGAATGATCAGACCTCGCACCAGCATAGAGAGCTACTCTGAGTGGATGGAGAACGCCCTAGAGAGTGCGCAGCCAGACCTTAGCACGGGTGCTGGTATCGATCAGGCTGTTGAGAATCTCACTCAAGAGATGCACAACGCTGCCTTAATTGCAACTCCTAGGGCTCCATGCAACAATAGGAAGTTGCAAAGGCATTTACACCTGTGGTCTCCTGAAGTGGCTGCACTCCTCAATGAGAAGAGACGACGGAGAAGGATTTGGTTCCAAACCAGGTACCCCAGCGATAAAACAGCTTTCAATCGTGCAACCAAAAAACTCAAGAAGTTGCTGCAGAGGTTGCGGACTTGCGCATTCGAAGGGTACCTGCGCCAGGTCGAGCCTGGGGACCCCCAACATAATTTGTGGAACTTAACCCGCCATTTAAAGCGTCCCAAGCAAAGGGTCGCCCAAATACGAAAATCCGACGGTGGATGGTGTCGTTCGGATCAGGAAAGGGCCGATGCTTTTGCTGCTCACCTCGAAGCAGCCTTCAAGCCATTCAACATGTGCACGGAAGAGGACAGAGCAGAAACGGAGTTTGTACTGGCCCTACCACCCACGAACCTTAGCCAGATGGAGCCCGTATCGGAGGAAGAGGTCAAGGAGGAGGTGTCAGGCCTCAACGCCAAAAAATCTCCGGGTGCAGATGGGATAGAGGCACTCGCGGTCAAGCTTCTCCCACCTTCAGGAATAAGGAGGCTCACAAGGATCTATAATGCGTGCCTAGAAAGTGGACACTTCCCCACTTGCTGGAAACAGAACAGAGTATTTTTGCGCAGATTGCAGACAGTACTGGACGATGCTGGTTTGATCCCAGATCACCAGTTTGGTTTCAGGCGCTCCCACTCCACCCCCGAGCAATGTCACAGGATCGTGGCAAAAATCCTGGACAGCCTCGAAAGAAAACATTACTGCTGTGCTGTTTTCCTGGATGTCAAGCAGGCGTTTGACAGGGTCTGGCACCCTGGTCTAAAAGCGAAGCTCAAGAGGAACCTGCCACAACAGTATTACGATTTCCTTAACTCGTACTTGACCGACAGGAAGTTTAGGGTCAGAAGCGGAAATGCGACATCGGAGTACAGGCCCATTGAAGCTGGAGTTCCGCAGGGCAGTGTACTTGGTCCCATCCTGTACACCATGTACACAGCCGACATGCCTGTCGCTGAAGAGGAGGGCCTTCTAGTGGCTACTTATGCCGACGACACGGCATTTTTGGCCTCTTCAATCTTGCCAGAGGAGGCTTCTGCAAGACTCCAACGCCAGCTGGACATCCTCGACCCGTGGCTTCGAAGGTGGAACATCGCCGTCAACCATGAGAAGTCAGGCCAAACGACGTTTACAATGAGGAGAGGCGACTGTCCTGGAATCAGTCTCGGAGGCACCCCAATTCCAGCCAGCCCTACACCCAAATATCTGGGTATGACCCTGGATAGAAGGCTCACCTGGAAAACTCACTTGCAGCGCAAACGGACGCAAATCCGGATCAAGCTACGTCAGCTCAACTGGCTCATTGGAAGGAGGTCCAGACTGAAGCAAAGAGTCAAGCTCCTTATATATAAGGCCATTGTAAAGCCAGTCTGGACCTATGGTATCCAGCTATGGGGGACGGCGTGTCTAAGCAACCGAAGGATCATCCAGATCGCCCAAAACAAGGCCCTAAGAACTTTAACTGGAGCTCATCCGTTCCACGACAATGCGATAATCCACGCCCAACTGAGAGTCCCATATGTGAGCGAAGAAGTTCAGCGATTCGCCAATAGGTACGTGGAAAGGCTGGACCGACATCCTAATCCTGAGGCCATCAATCTTTTGGACAACAGCTACACCACAAGGAGGCTGAAACGGACCCACCCATTGGACCTCTGCCACTCGGGCGAAATAACTTGAATTCTATCGCTAAGGTTTACTGTTAAAATTAGTTTCCTAGGATAAGCAAACATTGTACTACTCAATATTTCATTAAGTTAAGGTCCCATTATAAAATTTAATTATTGTCCATATCTCCGGACAGATTTTAAATATAACTATTGATTGATTGATAATAAAAAAAAAAAAAAAAAAAGTTTTTGAGTTAGAATGTGTCTCTTAAATAATGGGCGCTGTCACGCCCACAATGTTTATCTATTGACCATGTGAACTCAAAACAAAAATCAGAACTAAAATATCTTGTTGCGTTCTTGAGATATTAATTTTGGCCAGAAAAAGTGGTCACATTTCCTGTCTTGTGGTTGGGACTCAATACAATGATATGAATTTAATGCATTAGTATTAGTAACGAATAGTAGAAAGTAGGCTGGGAGCATGACGTTTCATACGTTTATACTGTGTGTCCGACAGAGCTCGGGCAGAGAAATTTACTATGCCCAATGATGACAATGACTTTAATGATGATTAGTATTAATTTTAATGATTAGTATGAGTAACGAATAGCAGGAAATAGGCTGAGAGCATGACGTTTCATACATTTTATACTGTGTGTAGGCAGCAGAGCTTACACTTACACTTTCACTCTATTAATAGGACAACGCAAGTTTTTTGGACATTTCATAGCACTAAAAATATAAATTTGCAAATTTGCTCATGTAAGCATTACCATCAACAGATGTTTTTTACATTTGATTTCTTCGCACTATTGGGCAGTGCAGTATGATATGCAGTTAAAATTTAAATTTTGTAACTTTCAAAAAAATTCCTATGGTGCACTGAATTAAACCAATAATTTTTAACTTGTAAGTATATATGTATATCATTTATTTAGATTGCACGCACACAGAAAATTTTTAAGCTAAGGCATGCGGTTCGTCACCATCCACACTGCAGTCCACAGTGATACCAACCACAATATTAAAAGAGTATTTATCAGGCTCGTCCCAAACATTTCCCTCTCTTTCTGATCTCCGATGTTTTTATCATTTTACGCGTTCGTCACCGAACTAAGTCGAAAGCAAAATCAAATATGTACATACTTTCAAACATTCACAGCAGCAGAGGGTCGGCAGAATTCGTTGGATTCCATTTAATTGTTTTTGCTTTGGGAAGGATTCCCGCCAAGAAGTTAAGTACTGAAGGGAGGGACAATCTTTTATCTTTTGCATTCATATATACGTACATACATATGTACATATGTACATTTGCATGAATACAATATTGCTTTGCACTTTGCAGGTGTCGGGTAAAACCATAAAATACAATCAATGGTTTAATAAATTTTATTTACTAATAATATAATAAATTATTTACTCTAATCCATTGAGCGTAACTAGTTTTTTATCTTAAAAAAGTTTCTTATCGAAAAATAGCTAATAGGTAATGCTTACCGTTTAAATCCGATTCAATTTTTCTCAGATTATCTACGTAATTCATTTTTGTATGTAAATATTAAAGAGTATTCCAAATACATATTTGTGATTTAAAATCTGATCTTTAACACTTTTATTGATTTGTGGGTTATTATTTTGTTCATTTATTGTTTATAAATTTTTGTGGCGGGCAATGCAGTTTATTAACAAAAAATAACATGTATGTACATACATATACAATAAAAGTTATCTTTTATTACGAATATTGTTTTATGTTTCATTTTTTTATTTTTATATCTGAAAATCATATACTTTAGAAGCAAAAAATGAATAAATCATTTTATGTAATATTTGTTAACAAATGTATTGAGACGGGAATATTAAAATTTTGTTTCAAAGAGAAGATATTCTGTTTTATTGCGCGCATGCTCCAGGACTTTGTTCTGTATTCTTATACTATCACATCTCAAACAGCAATATTTCGCTTTTAAAATCTAAAATTTAAAGCAATCCTTATGAAATTTAGAATCTAAAGCTATACTTCAGTGTATTTTATTAGTTTATATAGTTTAATGAATGTTTTATTTTATTTTTGTAATCCTAACCCCCTAATTCTGAAACTTTAGTATTTAGTAACTTTTAATATTTAAAAAAAATTATGAATCTATACATATGTAATATAATATACTCTTATATGTTATATTTGTTAATATAATAATAAACAATATGTTAATTATTGTTACAAAATGTAGATCCTTATTAAAAAAATAACTTTAAAACGTGTGTTTTAAAAAAAAAGGAGCTAAATTTTGTAACAATAAAAAACATTTCCATAGACATTTTACCCGCTACAAGTATATATATGCTTATTTTATTTAAAAGGGTTCAAAAGCTTGAAGAGTAGACAACGTTAATAGCAAAAGATTTTGCAAATCTCTCATTTTATATATATTAATCACTCCACATTAGTTACTGGTTACGTTGAAGGAGCTTCAAGTCATTTGCGTCACGCAAACATGTAACGATACTGGGAACAAATTTTTGTGTTTCTGTATTTAGTATTTTTTAGTATTTTCAATACATTGGTGTAGTCAAGTAGTGTATTTCAATACATTCATTCACAAAAGTGACGTTTGATCAGATGGTATTTTAAACACTTGGTTACACTGCGTTGTTGAGTTAGGGATATTTACTTCAAATCGAAAAATAATTAAAGTAGCTTTTATATATATAAGACTAAAGGAGTATGAGTGGTAACGACACAAAAGCAGTGGACAGCGATGAAGATTATTGTGTTGAGGGCGATATCAAAAGTAGCGAAGATAGTGACACCAGCTCCGACGAATCGTCCAATGGATCCGACATGAACCACAAAAACAAAAATGTTTCCTGCCTGACCTTTCTGAAGACCAGACAGTCAAACAGCTCGAAAAATAAATTCAAAATTGAGAAAGATGAGCTGCCATCAGACGAAGAGGCCGATAAATCCCGATCTGATGCTCTTTGGGCCGACTTTCTTAGTGACGTTGGGTCTTCAAGTGAAAATCATGAGAAAAAAATACCTGTGGAAACAATGTCGTGCGGATCGCCGAAAAATGTAGACATTGCAGCAAAGGGACTGTCTTGTCAAAGGAAGATAGAGAAAGGAGGTACAAACCTTGAAAAAAATGGAATTCATTCTAAAGGTGCTATTAAGCGACCGTCACGTGTAGTAGGTGTCAGTTCTCTCATAAATACATTGGGTAAAAAAAAGAAAATGTCTGTTTTGGAAAAATCGCAAATGGATTGGAATACCTTTAAAAGCGACGAAGGTATAGATGAAGAATTACGTACTCACAATAAGGGCAAGGAAGGGTAAGTTGATTTAAACTCTTTAAATATTACCAATTAAGATAAGTAATTAAACTTTTGATTTAGATATTTGGAACGCCAAGACTTTTTGCAGAGAACAGATTTGCGTCAGTTTGAAATCGAGAAGAGCTTGCGACAATCACGACGGAATAATTGAGCATCTCCTAGAGTCGAATTTATTTTCATCCATTTTACTCCAGATTTTTAAAAGAAAAATAAAACTATTAGTTAAGCCAAGGATTAATATATATAAATTTGTTTCATTTAGAGTCTTCGAAGACGAGTGTTAGAGTCAATAAAGATGATGAAAAGAAAGTGTTGGGTTCACTCCAATCTTTCGCTCTCTTTTTGTATTACAAGGCGGGTACCGGAAAATATTTGGATTTCCTTTCTTATTTACTTTAAGTTGATTGTTGATTGTACTTTAGCATAATAATCACTTTAGTTTACTTTACTAAAGGCACTATTTACTTTATAATACTTTACTTTAGTACATTAGCTTTAATACTTTAGTATGAAACACGAAAAGCTGTAACACGAATTCAACGCTCTATCTTCTGCGGGTATAACGTTTCACTAATTCAGAGGGAATAGCTCCATCATTTCATTGAAGGAACTGCACATTTTGTCAACTTCGAGTTTACATAATCCCATAAATTTATGGACTGGACCTTGTTTCTAAATCCAATTTTTGACCAACATTTGCTTTGAATTTTCTGCAGAAAGAACCACATTCCCGAAGAAAGAATCCTTACTTGGAGAAGAGCCATAGTTGATGTACTCTTGCAGCTATGATTGGATATATATCGCAAATAACGTATGTATATAGTTGGCCAATTCTTTTGAGAATTTCATTCGAGAAATATTTAAGGTTAACAGTAACTTTAGCTGGCACTATCGATACTATTAATTGTGGGAACCATTTTTCAAAGCATCAATTTTTTGCACTATCAATGTTTTGAAGCATTTTTCCATCTTTCTGAAAAATCAGTCACAAAAGGTCGTCACTTAAACCATGATACAATTATACATGATTGTATAATATATGTTTTGTATAATTGTATCATGACTTAAACCGCCGACTGCAGCTGAAATCATTTTCATAAGCAGGAATAATTGGCTTCTCGACAATTAATAAAAATAACATTTGTTACAAATATACATATATAAATTTGATCTCATATGATAGAGTATTACAAAGAGAAATGTGATTTTTTGTTACAAACATTTGATTATTTTATAATATTGAATTATTTATTACATATTAAAAATAGTGTTTTCTGATATGATATGTACTGAACTGATATGTAATTTCTTTAATAAAAACCTTTAGTTACATACAATACAGATAAATAAGATTTTTTACATTTAAAATAATAATAAATATTAAGATAATGAAACAAAATGTAATTTTTGAATGAAAAATCGATAGTATGGAGGTTTTTTCCGCAAAAACATCGATAAAATCAATCGTTTGTTGCCATCTCTATTAATAACCAATTTACGACGCACTATTTACAACGCAATATGACCGTTTCGACTTAGGCTAATTTAACATAAACACGGCGAATTTAATGCACAATCGCACAGTGGTCCGGCTGGTATGAAAAGAGCGGCAAAAAACACTTCTAGTCAAAAGAGGGACTTGAAACTTGGCACAAAATATTTTTATTTTTATTCTAAGATAATATGTTAAAATCAGCCAGATCGGGACACTATATCATATAGCTGCCATTAAACTGATTGATCGGGATAGCTCTAACTTTGGTGTTTTTACAGTTTGAGAGTTCAGTTTTTGTACGAATGCTATATTTGACAAAAATTTCATAAGGATCAGCCGACTATATTCTATAGCTGCCATATAACTGATTGATCGGAAATGCTATAACTTGGGTGTTACTAGAGTTAGAGAGTTCCAATTTTGTGTATATGCTATTCTTGGCAAAGTTATACGACATATCCAATTTTATAAGGCCGACTAAATCCTATAGCTGCCATATAACTGAAAATGATCGGAAATGACCCAACTTTCGTGCTTTTTTAGATAAAAAGTTAAAACTTCGAGCAGATTCTAATTATGGTCAGTTGATCGAACCTTCCAAATTTCATAAGGATCGGACGACTATATCTTATAGCTGCCATATAACTGAACGATCGAAAATGGTATTTGGTATAAATACAAACTTTGGTGTTTTTGAAGATAGAGGCTTGAGACTTTGTTTTAGATTTTTATTGCATCTAAAGAACATTATTAAACAAAAGCAAAAACAATTCGTTTTGTCAAATTAGCTTCAGTTATAAGAGCTACTACTTCACATTCCTTTGCTGGAAAAGTCGAAGGATTCGGTTGCCTGCAAACCCAACGTATGTCATCCGCAGCGGACTGATTGACCTCTGATATATCTGCTATCCGTCGCCGCTTCGTTCTTTCTGAGCACACTGCTAGACTTAATTTTGGACGTCCACGTTGAGTAGTTTTGATCATTTCTTGAGGCTTACTAGAAGGGCGATTCATTAAAATTGTTTCCTTTTCGTTAAGCCAATTAGATTGGAACTTAAGAACTGGTTCCTTTTTGTTATATATTTATATTGTTATATTGTTTCCAAAAAAAAATCAATTTTTTTGCAAATGTATCCACTACATTTCGTTAGCACGCCCATCTCGGACACGTAGCCAATGTCTTCAATACTGCTGTTTACGTGATCGATGACCTTCCGTAATTTTTCTGCATTGATGCCGATTGCTGTACACCAATAATTGAATATGTACAACCGAGTGAGGACACATTGAGAAGAGTCAGCTACCAAAATTAAATTAATAAAAAAAAACGAAATTAAAATTAAAATTTAAGGCTAATAAGAACATAAAACGCGAAAGACGAACACAAAGACAGCACAACTACAATGCAAAACAGCTGCATCGACCTTGAAGAAAATAAGAGATGATGTTAGAATATTGTTGATTACGCACACATCCGCAAATATCGGCAGCTAGCTTTACCTTTTTTTTATACCTTAATATATTAACAAATACACTGAATAAAAAATGAATCGGGGGATTTCGGGGGATCACAATGAAAACTTTACGTAAACATAAAAAAGACGAATACAAAAGATACTAAAAATATAACAAAGTGAATAATTAATTTATTAACTACAACACAAGTTAGCGTTTATAAATATTGAAACTGAAAAATAATATCTTTAACTTCAAAATCCATTTTATATAATATAAATTGAGCAGCGTAATTAGTTAACTGAACACTTTGAAGTATACTTTTGTTGTGAAATATTCGTGATGCGTGCAGCTGCGCTTTACAAAAGGACACGTGTTCACAGCTTTAATTCTATTTTTAGAAAGAACCGTTAGATTTCCAGAAAAATCTGGTATACAATGAAGAAGCTTGGACATTTTAGTAACGATTTTTTTACTTTTCGTAAATTTTTTTTGCTATGACCTTTTTTATTTTTGGCCTATGGAATTAACCACTGTGCATCGGCTTCGCCATTTGGCTGCCATTGGCATGTAAAAGAACATAATTTGCATAACATAAACAGTATAAAATAATATTGTTCATAAAATAAGGCGCAATGGTCGGCAGGGCACCATTCCAGGGGCATAGGAAATTTCTCTGCCCCAGCTCTGCCGCACACACTCACTATAAACGAACGAAATGTCCCGATTAGGACAGGAATAGAATAGTATCTAAAAACTAATATCTCGAAAACAAATTAAAATTATTTTTAAAACTTTAAGTAGGCATCGTACTGTTTTTGGGGTCGCTGATTACGAGAAACTGAAGTTAGATTTAAAAAATTTGGAATGGTTAAAGTTGTGATTGTTTTTCAAAATGATAAAATCTCATTAATACATATATGTTTCTGAGAAATTTTTACGTATTTTATATTATTTAAAATTAATGATTAGGATTAGCTGGCTTTTTTAAGCACTCAGGATGTGCCACGGGAAACAATATGTAAACATAATTCAAACATTCTTATCAAGGCTTATCATGTACGGGACTGAGTCCGTATTAAATGTTCATCTTAGGTAAAAAAAATGCCTTTTTGTTTATTTAACAATTCATTAAATGTATTTGGTGTTACATGGCATTGTGCGGACACGCTTGCATCGATTTTATTCCCATTATAATCCAATAATTACTTTTATTTAATACATTAATTTAATAGTGATTCGTTGTTCCACAATATAATATTTTTTGGGTCATAAATCTTAAGGGCCTAAAAGTAGTAACGAATGAATTCAGATCATCTACTTCACCACTTTTGTTGGTCAATTTTTAAAACTTTGAATTAAAGCCCCAGGACCGCATAAAAAAAACTTCCATATATGTAAACTGATTTTCATCTATATAAATGATTTTTTTTTTGTATTTTGCTTACTTTTTTTTTTATCAACAATTTTGTGACGTTTTTTGTTCGTGAAAATTGAAAATTTTGTTCAATCACTGACTATTTTGCAAAAAATTAATACATCGAAAAAATCCTACGTGTGTCGATAGCCGTTGAGATACAGAAACTAACCAAACTTGATTTTTGTTCTAGATTTTGTTCAAAAATTAAGGACGTTAGGTGTTCAGCCATGGACCCCCTTTAAAAAAATAGGGCCTACGAATAAGGGCTGCAAGGCCGCCATTTTGTTTTCGATTTATTAAAAAAAAATTTTATTGTGTACTTTAAATATAATATAATAAAACCTCATTTACAAATTTTCGATTAGCTGTTTTGATTTGGCCAAAAAAAATTCCAGAAAATCCGCATTTTGTTGGCCTGTTACTCAGATGTCCCTTAAGCGTGTTAGTAAATGCTGGCTGTCTACTTCACCGTTGATGAGGTTATGTGGAAAAACTACACCCCGCATTGTCCTACTATTAGTAAAAGTTAGAAAGCGGCTGTCAGAGCTAAAGGTGCCCATTTACGTGACATAATTTTTAATAATAATTTGTAAAAAATCTCCTTGGACCAAAATACCAGCCGAGGCTGGATTCGGCTGTCAGAGCTAAAGGTGCCCATTTACGTGACATAATTTTTAATAATAATTTGTAAAAAATCTCCTTGGACCAAAATAAATGATTTTTGGAATAAAAAAAAATTATCCACTTTTTTTGTTTTTGTTTTAAGAGTCAAGTGGGTCAACTTTAAATGGCCCACCCTGTAGTTTCTGCTTCAAGCAGGGGGGCAGGCAGGAGGCCGGATTAAAGCAGGATCGGCATGCGGTGTGTTTGTCCTTGTACCTGAGCTGATGATCAAGACGATTTGTTTACCCAATTTTTCACCAGAGAACATTTTCGTCCAAGAATGTCATCCGGGTACCGTAAAGAAAAAAGGTTTTAAAACCATTAGGTGTGAAATTTCCACATGTTAGAACCACTTACCATCCTTCCACCGCTTCTTCGTCCGCAAATTCAAAATGAAGTAATAGCAAGCAAGGTCTACGTAGCAATCTCCCTCATTTATATTCTGATAGTTCTCTCTTTGCATCCCATATTATAGCCTTTACAGCAGTACAACACGCACACATGTTTAAAATTTGAGTGTATGCGTAGCAGAGAAAAACAATGAGAGCAAAGCATTCACTGAGCGAAAAAACGTAGTTTTTTATTTAATTTTTCATTAAATCAAAAGTTGGAATGGGCACTAAATTTCCTTTCTTGTTAGTAATGAGACTCTGGGTGACGGCTACTCCCGTGTCGCGACTGGTATAGTTGATGGAGGAGGTATCCTTAAGATTGTTAAGATTGTTGATGAAGGCAGCCGTGGACCTGGCCAGGGCAGAATGCCACACAAAGTTGGGAGAGAAGTAGGAAGGTCAGCGAACGGGCGATAAAGATGGAGGTTGGAGCAGCGGCGGCCAAGAAGAAGGCGGACGACGGAGGAAGAGTGCGGCGGGTAACACCGTGGCCCGTGGTACCGCCAACCCCACGCCCAAGGATAGAACGCAAGGAGCAGGAGCCGTGGGCGATGGGATCATGGATATGCCCGGCGTCAGAGAGGCCACCGCTTGCCCACCAGAATTCATGCCCCAAGAAGCGTCCAAGCGTCCATAAATAAAATTAATAATATAAAAAAAAATTAGTAATATTCTGAAACAACAAAAATAAGAAGGGGGTACTCACAAAAGAACAAACAAAACATATTCCAAATAGTATTATTAAGATATTTCCAAAAAAAAAGCTGTTGGACTCTCAACTAGTGTAGTGTATTTTATTTTAAAGAAAGCTTTGCTAGCAAGAGTTCTTAAAAAAATAAAAAGCTACGCTTCTCTATCTATATTTTCTATGGAGAAAACTTTTTCCAAGCCAATTTCTAAGAAAATTTTTCTCGGTGAAACATTTTGATTTTTAGTTTGGGCTATCAAATGAGAGCAAATGAGAGAGCTTCTAAAAAAATTTGAGAGTGTTCATACTGTCAGTGCTATGTAAAATGAGAGTTTGCTCGCCATTGCTTTACAGAAACGTGGCTAAAGCCGGAGATTTTTAGCTCCGAAGATTTTTTAAATCAGTACACTTTATTTAGACGTGATCGACCTCAGTGAAGGGGGAGGAGTCCTCATTTCGGTAGACTCCCATCTAGCTTCTGAAATGGTAAAATCACAAGACTTTAATATCCCAGAACTAAAGTGGTCTAATGTCAACAACTCACCATTTTTACCACTTATCACGCACCACCGCGGGCATGTTTGACATGTGCCTTTACACTTTAGACATGTGCCTAGGTCGGCTATTAGACTTATATCTTGTATATGTTCCTGATGGTACCACGCTTTCCAGAGCTTTGCCCCTTTCAATCCCAGAGGATCCATTTCACCACACGCTTGAGGTTTCAAATGAAACCATTTCTGGTATGGAGCAGACGTTTCCTTTCGTGGGAAATAAGATTCACAATTGGTGGGAAATAAGATTGGTCCGATATTCTGTAATGCACCGATATAAATGCCTCTTTAGAAAAATTGTACCATACATTAAAAACGTTTTTTGAGTTATGTTTGCCTTGAAAATATCCGTCCACTTCAATAAATCCTCCTTGGTTTACAAGGTGCCTTACGACCTTAAAAAATACTACAAACAGTCTCTTTTTTAAATAAAAAAAAACCTGCAGTAGTATAGATTTTCGAGATATCTACTAGCTCGAACGAATTTTACCGTGCATAACGCTGAATGTTATAGGAATTTGCCGATCTATTCGCAAAATTTTTTCAAACGACTTACTTTCCGCCTACAGTGACAGATCTGTCTGACGCATATAACACTCAATCAGCAAATCTTATTTTCTGTCCGTCTTTCTCCGAAAATAGCTAATTTTCAGATCTTCTAAGGGCTAAACCCGTTTATTCGCCAGGCCCGGATGGAGTACCAGTCTGCGTGCTAAAATACTCAGCCAGTTCTCTGTGACAACCTCTACATAGACTTTTCAACTTATCTTAGGAAACCTCGATGTTTCCCCCTAAGTGAAAGTAATCTTTTATAATTCCCTTACATAAAAAAAGGAAAAAGTCCGATGCCGCCAATTATGGTATGTCAGTATGGCTTCATTAGCGTCGCTCCACCACCAATAATTTATTGTCCTTTGTTCTACATTCTATGGCATAGATGAACACATGGAGCCCTATTTAAAAATGTTCATTCCCTCTTGCTTCGTGCTACATCTGGAGTTCGCAAAAAGCCCTCTACTGTTTACTCTTTTTATAAACGACTTGCCCCGAGTGCCCATAACGAGTAATTATGTATGCAGACAATGTTAAGCTTTGTCTTAAATACAAATCAGCTTCTGCCCAAAGCAAACTTCAGTCCGATTTTTTCCAAAAATTTTCAAAATGGGTATTTAGCGAATGATTTAACACTTAATGGATCAAAATGCAAACTTATTTCTTTTTGTCGTTCTCTTCCTCTCCAGGCTACGTAATTTCTCTATGGGATTGCCTTTAAAAAATTAACTTATGTTAATGAGCTAGGTGTCCTATTAGACTTAAACATCTAAATTTCTAATCTAATCTTTCTAATCTAAAATCTAATCTTAAATTTTTCCGTCCATATTTCCACAATAATGTATAAGGCTAATGGTGTCATTGGTTTTATGAAAAGGTGGTCAAAAGAATTAAATGACCCCTATAATACTGAAAGTTTATTTATTTCTTTGGTCCGTCCAACACTGGAGTACGGTTCATGTGTCTGGAGTCCCCAATATGGAGTACAGAAAGACCGCATAGAATCCGTACAAAGGAATTTCTTAACATTTGCGTTTAGAGGTCTTAACTGGGATGCAAATCTTCAGCTTCTTTCGTATCGTAGAAGACTCTGACTAATATACTTACCAACCCTAACTAATCGTAGAACAATGGTGGTTAGCTAACAATGCTGGGTGGCTAACAATGCAGGGTGGTAGATAGGTAGTATTTACTATCACGCTTAAATTTCTATATTCCTCCTAATAGAAGGACTAGAAACTTAAGTCCTCTATTCCCTAGCCATTGTAGTTCCACATATGTACAACACGACCCTCTTTGCGTCTCATGTTCGCACTACAATGGTCTCTACGCTATCATCCTACTTTTATGTCCATCAAACTTAAAAACATGTGTTTTAAATTTTCTAAGTAGTTATCTACTCTTTTCTGTTAAGTTCATAACTCGTTTCACGAGCGCGCTTCGGTCGTCTGGGCCTCTAAGCTTGGTAATGAAATATATCTTTCATGCAACGTTAACATAATCTGGATATAATTTTCTACGCTCTACAAATTGCTGTTAGAGCGCGTACCGCAGATATGGCCAGTCCGTCCTCTAGTTGGAACGTATATAAATCCGATACCATTCTCCACTAACCCATGGAATTCCCTCAGCACCTCGCTTCGCGGCATGCGATAAGACCTCTGTCACTTCTTTGGTCGGAGCACAAACTCGGAGACTGCCATGCTTCTGGAGGTCCTAGCTTGACCCCCGAGATTGCTCCACCGATTGGGCTTGATTCCTTGCCGAATATACTTCATCACATTTATCATACTCAGACCACATCCTCGAGCTGATGGACTATAAAAAACACACTCAAAAGGATTCCCACTCTACTCAGATGCGTATTTTACTTTACTTTACTAAACAAGAATGTAATTAAAAGCCTTATCTTCGCAGATTTTCGTCGGATGCCACGGGTCCAGCTTCCGAGAATCCTTCGATCTTAAAAGGTATTTTTAAGGGTCTGCGTATCTTTCTAATCACAAAATAATAATTCACAAAACACAACACAGCACACAGACGATTGGACACCGTGGTATCGGGTCCAGTTGAGGCCCACCCTTTCTTGGGCCAAACTTATCTTCGGATCAATACCGGATGACCTTCCCTAAATTTATCTTTCCGCGGATCTGAATTATAATAACATTTTTTTGTTTTACGTTTTCACTTCCCCCCTTATTTTACTCTCACTCACTTTTAATTATTTTGCTTTTAACTTTTTTGACAAATTTATAATTTTAATTCATATATTTTTATACATATTTTCTTTTCAATTTAAAGCCTAGTACTGAGTTGACGAAAATCCGCTGTCGACGAGTGACAGCTGTCAAACTCAATATAAAAAAAAACGGTGTAAAAAAATGAAGAAGAAGAAATTTTTGCCTCCTAGATTTTGCGGGTACTGAGTTGACGAAAATTTTTGTTATCGAATTGAATGGCGTTGCCGGATCAAAAAAGATAAACAGCTGATTTTGGGGTGTTGAAAGAATTAATTTTATTTATTTTGATAGCTGAAACATGGAGGGAAAATTGATGAAAGAAAAAAATAGTCGGCCCGAAAAATTTTCGGCGCGCGAGGATAAATTGAAATTAATTAGTGCGGTCAAGGCGCAGCCCATTATATGGGATTTGACCCACAAGGGGCATTTAAATGCCATAAAATGGCAAGGAATTGATTTTTGATTGATTTTGATTTTGACCCAGTTTTCTTTTTCTTAATCAGCTCCTTAGCGGCGAAATACATAAGCAAAACACCAACATCCAATCGTTTTGAATTCATTTTTGCTTATTTGTTTACAAACAACAGCTTTTCAGTATTACCCTTTTTCTTAATTTTTTTGGTAACACTAGCTCGGTAGCTGAATAAAGTGCGATTTCTCTAGCGGATTTTCGACAGCGGATTTTCGTCAACTCAGTACTAGGCTTAACACTTAAAGCCTAGTACTCTGACGACGAAAATCCGGTGTCACACGTTTGCTAGTAAAATCGCTCTTTATTTGGCTACCGAGCTAGTGTGACCAAAAAAATTAAGGAAAAGGGTAATACTGAACAACTTTTGTTTGTAAACAAAAAAAAATAGGCAAAAATGAATTCAAAACGATTGAATCAAACACCCTCACCCTCAAAATCTTGATTTATTTAGAAAAAAAGGTTTTTCGGGACTTTTTTGCTCCTAAAAATTCCTAAGCGCGTAATTTTAAACCGATTCTAAAATTTTAGACGTTTTTCAATAGTTAAATGTTGTAGCTTTTGAAAAAAAAATATATCTTTAATTTATTTCAACAAAAAGGATACAATTTTTACGCAAGAAACTAAAATTTTTGAATTTTTGTTGTGTTTTTCAGACTTTGACGCCATTTTCTCGGTACCATTTTTAAGAAATGATATCATTTTTGACACAAATCAATATTTTCTCGTTAATTCTGATTTGAACAAGACCAATTTCATTAGGAAATTATGAATTATATTGTTGAAGTTATAACGCTTTTCCAAAACAAGTCAGTGCAATTTTACTAGCGCTCCGGAGTAAAAGTGTATAAAAGAAAGGAATAAGCGAAATGGAACGGCACACTATTACTCCGAAACGCTAGCAAGATTGGACTGACTTGTTTTGGGAAAAGCGTTATAACTTCAATAGTTTTCTCAATTTTGTAATGAAATTGGTGTCGTATTATTCAGAATTAACGAGACAATATTGATATGTATAATAATGATACCTTTTCTTGGAAGATGTACCGAAAAAATGGCGTCAAAATCTGAAAAACACAACAAAAATTCAAAAATGTCAGTTTCCTGCGTACATATTTTATCCTTTTTGTTGAAATAAATTAAAGATCTATTTTTTTTAAAAGCTACAACATTTAACTATTAAAAAACGTCTAAAATTTTAAAATCGGTTTAAAATTATGCGCTTAGGAATTTTTATGAGCAAAAAAGTCCCGAAAACCCGTTTTTTCTAAATAAATCAAGATTTTGAGGGTGTTAGAAAAATTTCAAACACGGTTTTATACTATACTCGACCTAATGAACCATTCCTACTAGGTCTCTTCAAAAGTTCCAAATCACTGTCGCACTGTGTAATTTTCGTCGTCAGAGTACCGGCAAAATCTAGGAGCCAAAAATTTCTTCTTCTTCCTTTTTTCACACCGTATTTTTTATTTGGAGTTTGGCCGCTGTCACACGTGTGACACACGTGGATTTTCGTCGTCAGAGTACTAGGCTTTATTGTGTAAGAATCATTTTAATGCAGAATGTAATTATAATGTATAACATTTATAACATGTATAACATTTATAACATGTATAACATTTTTTAACATCAACATTCATACTACTTATTTTTGGCTTGTCACAGGTATTTTTCCTCCGTGTTTTTCAAGACAGGTCAAGAGGTATTTTTTATTTTATCAAATACTTTTTTGGTGGATAATTTCTAAAAATTATTTTATTTTGAATATTATTGATTATTTTTGTTTTATTCGAATTTATGTTGTACAGTCAATATTATAATGTTTTGATGTGTTTCTATTTTTCGAACAAACAGTTTTTGCCGAAAAATTTCTTGCAAGTATCACTGACTCTGTCAAACAGGATAATTTATTTAAATTTTAAAGCTTAGTACTCGCGACCTGTAAAACGTTTTTTGGTGCGGTTTGGCATGCCCATGTAAATTTCTGGTATTTTTTTTCGATCTGAGTACGGGGTGATGTAAAAACCCTGTCAAAAACAGTTTTCCACCTATTTGCTTCTCGCTCAATTCTTCTTGGAACAATGGGAGTATAGCTGGAAAAAAGTTTTTGGCGATCTGAGAACAAAAGAACCTTTAAAGAGGCTTAAAAAGGCTTAAAGAACCTTTTGTGTAGGTTCTTTGAATGTTCTATAGGTTCAAAAATGTTTAAATTCAAATTAATTTTCGAAGGGATCCGAAAATTCTTCGGGAAAACTTGGAGAAATCCGAAGTTAGCGTAATTTAAAAATGCGCGTTCACACTGGAAAGAATAAAGTTTATTCAATAAACGTTTTTACTCGTCAAACATGTTTTTCGATCTCAGTACTAAGCTTTTCGATAAGAACCCGATATATTTCTGGCAACACGTTTTGTCAAAATTATTGATAATGCACAACAGAGTGATGCCACACATTTTTTAAGATAAGAGAACGAAAAATTTTAATAAATAAATAAATAAAATAAGTGGAAAACACTCTTATTTAAAACAATATTTTAATATTATTTTAATAAGTAATTTTAAAGAAAACTGGATAAATTCAGAATCGAAAAAAATCTTCATGGAAAGAGGACAAGTTGGCATCACTGGTTGTAACTGTAGTCGCCGTTTTGAGTCGTGGGGAAACGCAGAGAATATTATAAAATGTATAAGTATAATTATAAGTATACTATGTAAAATATTTTGGTGATTTGTAAGTATTTGTTCTTTATTTACATTAGTGTTGGACGTCCGGACAATTATTACCGAGATAGTGTTTAGATCGCGTAACCGAAACTTAAACGTAACCGAAACCAATCGAAAGCGAGGTGCATACAACACACACTCCGTTAAGCAACGCCAAGCGAGCCAAACGTTAAACCGTGGAGAAACTTCGTCTATGCATCGTTAAAGCTGCAAAGAAAAGTGAAAAGTCGTGTTTTTTTGGCAGGTTTTTGACTCTCGCGGATAGTTGAAACAGTTTCATAGGACCACATTTTCTTATCACATACTTTTCAAAATTAAAAAAAGGACAAGTAATTGTCATATAAAGTTTAAAATTTTACCTACAAAGCGTGCTGATCAGCGAATATAACGTGTTTCGATTAAAAATGTCTCGGATTTTATATCACCACACCGAAATTTGATATTAAATAATACGTCTGCATTGGTGAAAGTGTGTTAACATCTTTGCATACATATGCCCAACGAGCAAGTTGAAAATATCACCTCAACAACTTTACTATAAAGTGCTTGCCTGTAAAGCAAGTTAAATTCTATGCATATGCATAGAGGCCTTTAAGTTCAGTACTATAGGTACAAAAAAATAATGAAAAACTTTGGGTAGATCTTTAAATTTGAATAACTTGTAAATATAATAATAATCGTTTGCCTATAGATTTGTCGCTTGAGGTATAGGTAAAAAAATCGCATCATAATAAAACCAATTTATTACAATAGCAAATCTAAAAAAAAACGTCCCAAGTTTCTATTTTCAAAAATACCAATAATATTTTTACCAAATAAAAAATACCATTCCCGATCGTTCAGTCATATGGCAGCTATAAGATATATTCGGCCGATCGTTATAAAATTTGGTTGATCGGATCAACTGACCAAAAATCTTTACGAAAGTTGGGTCATTTCCCATTTTTGAGTTATATGGAAGCAATAGGATATAGCGGATCCTTATGAAATTTGCTACGTCCTATTATTTCATATCATTCGTACAAAATAACATTCTTTAACTCTAAAAAAACCAAAGTTACACACGAACGCAGCTATAGGATCCCGGCCGTTTCGACTTATGTATGTATATATTGCGTGAAAAGGAAAGAAGGGTGTGTGCAAAGTTTCAAGTGGATAGCTTTAAAACTGAGATATAGAGCTTAAAACTGAGGACATGCTCTTGTCAACTCAGGCGATGATCCAAATCATGAACATACATATATACTTTATAGGGTCGGAGATGTCCACTAAAAAAAATTTTTTCAAACCATAGATAATAAGCTAACAATCGAAGAAATGTATGCGGCTTTTAATTTTACCTTGTGGGTAATATGATTGTAAATTGAAAACAGAAACGCCCAACTTGCAGCAAGGTCAAATCAACAAAAATACAATTACTACAAAGTAAACAAAAAAGCTTGAAAGGAAGCTTGAACAAAAGACTTAAGGTACGTACGCGTTCGCGCCGTAAAAATACTATAAGATAATTTAATTTTAAAAATGACTCAACATAAGATGTATTCTATTCAGTAATTTTCATCTAAAATTTTTCAAGTGCGGTTTTCTATTGACAATATGTGAGCTCAAACAGATTTTGTGTAATTTATATATGTATTCCAATATGTTAAAAGTTTTTACTTAAAAAATTAAAAAGTATTTTTTTTACTAAAAATATGTATAAAGTACCTAATATATGGTATATAGTAATATATATTACTATATATAGTACCTAATTTTTGATTGACAGCTTAATGAATCTTGGTTTTTTGATTATACCAATAATAGTATCGTAAACTATGCGATTATGCATAGTCATACACATGCATGTTTATATGTTTCTTACTTTAGTGTTCGTTTAATACCGGAAAATCTTGCGGGTTTCGCCACAATAAAGATTTCGGCGGCTTCGCCAATTTAAGTAAATTTTAAATAAGTATAAATTTATAAATACGTATGTATAATATGTGCATACATCAGGTGTTTAATGAAAAATATTTAAGATACTTTAAAAATTTAATGAAAAAATTTTCGTTGCCTTCTTTTAATATAAGGGCCTTCCAAAAAATGTGAGGCTGGGTACTGCTCTTACCAGCAGGCGAACAGGAAAATCAACAATTTCGCAGCTCTAAATCTTAAGAAACTGTAAAATAGTTTAATAAGATTAAATGATTTAAATGAGAAACCCAAAAGTTAAGTTAAACGAGATACCCAAATATTTAATACTTAAACATATGTTGTCATGTAAACATAAACTTCCAACCCTTTTTTGGGGGATTTAAAAATAAAAAAAATGGTTTTACACGAAATAGATGGGTTCGGTTGACTCACACCTTTGATGCTTAAAGCCTGCTTTCACTTACATTTATGTATGTATGTGTGTATGTACACAGGGTCAACTGTTCTTCAGACAAATTTGTGCTGTAGGATAGTTTGCGGAACACTGTTGTCTTCTCTTTTCGATAAGTTAGCATGTCAATCTATCTGTAATGAATTATGTCTATGTTAGCGTGTAAAAGTAAAATTGTTTAAGTTAGTTTCAAATGATAACGCATTTTATGTGGGGTTATTTCACTTTGGAAAAGCTGGGAATTTAAAACGATAGTTGAGAATAATTCCCAAGAGTATGTTAACGTCGGCTTTGTCCAATGCTTGCCCTCCTTACAGTTTTTGGCTAAGCGAGTTGTTGCGTCGATGCTTTTAGTGTGATATATGTATGTATGTACATATGTAGCTTTTTTGAAAGCTGTATAAAGCATGCACTTTCATTTTCATTTCGGACGCATTAAACTTACATACACTGTTACATACACACGTGTTATCGTAATAATAATGCTGCTTGCGGTAGCAGCAGTCATAATATTAAAGTTACTAAACCAGCTTTTTCTAATGCGCAAGCATTATTACCATGATCTACGAGATGATAGTGGAATTAATTTAAAGAAAATTCGTTAATTGAAGCTATTTATATAAAATTACACAAAAAAAGCTATTCTTACACGGCCGGATAAGAATAGTTTTTAATAAGTAGTTACATATATGTATTACCTTTATTAAATTTTTTCGTCACACAATAGAATTTTAGTTATTTTGGGTGTGCCTTGCGGTTTTGTCACCGTTAGTTTACCTCGTCCACAGGTTTTTATACCTTTGCAGAGGGTATTATAAATTTGGTCAAAATTATGCAAAGCAGTGAAGGAGAAATCTCCGACCCTATAATGTATATACATATATACATACATACTTAATCAGGATCACCTCCTGAGTTGATATGATCATGTCCGTCTGGCCGCCTGTCTGTTTCTACGCAAAATAGTCTCTCAGTTTTAAAGCTATAGACTTGAAACTTTGCCCACACCCTTCTTTCCTTTGCATGCAGTATATATGTAAGTCGGAACGGCCGGGATCGGCCGAGTATATCCTATAGCTGCTATATGACTGATTGATCGGAAATGGTATAACTTTGGTGTTTTTAAAACTAGAGAGTTCAAATTTAGCAATCACTTCGTTTTTAGCAAAATAATTTATTCTCCTATAAGGAGAAGGAGATTTCTCCTTCACTGCAAAGTTTAAAGTCGATAGCTTTAAAACTGAGAGACTAGTTTGCGTAGAAACAGACAGACGGACAGACGGACAGACGGACATGCTCATATCAACTCAGGAGATGATCCTGATCAAGAATATATATATTTTATAGGGTCGGAGATGTCTCCTTAGGCAAGGGTATAACAAGACAGGAAAGCTAACTTCGGGCGGAGCCGAAGTTGATATAGTTGACAAATCATAGATCCTTATGACAATATCATAGTATAACCAATTTATTACAATACAAAATCTAAAAAAATGTACCAAACTTCTATCTTCAAGGACACTAAAGTTGGACTTTTTACCAAATACCATTTCCGATCGTTCAGTTATATGGCAGCTGTATGACATAGTCGGCCGATTGTTATGAAATTTGGTTCGGATCAACTGACCAAAAATAGAATCTTTGCGAAGTTCCAACTTTCTATCCAAAAATAGAATTCGTACAAAATCCGAACTCTCTAACTCTAAAAACACCAAAGTTTTAGCATTTCTGATCCAGCAGTTGTATGGCAGCTATTAAATATTGCCTTTCCGACTTATAAAGTTTCAAGTCGATAGCTTTAAAACCGATAGACTAGTTTGCGTAGAAACACAGACGGATATGCTCATATTAACTCAGCAGGTATTTCTGATCAAGAATATATAAACTTTATAGGGTCGGAAATGTCTTTTTCACAGCTTTGCACACTTTTGGATAAAATTATAATACCCTCTGCAAGGGTATAATAAGTATTTAAAAGTATTTAATAAAATTGTAGAACAAGTGTTGGTCATATTTTAAAACTTAATATATCAAACTTTTTATGGATTGAGCAAACAGACAAAGAGGAGACACACTAGATTTAATTTCGGAAGTAAAAGAACAATTGAGTTGTCTTGATTAACTTCTAAACAAGTCGGTTGAGGTGTCAATCGACGCTTGTTCAAAATTAGATTGTAGTTCAATAAAATTATTTTGTCGAGAGACACCAATTTTCCATCTAGTCCCAATTCAGTGAATTTTACATTTTCGCAAATTTCTTCCAAACTGATAGACTAATTAGAACACCCTCCGATTGGTATATGGTTCATTCAGACGCACACAAAAAATGTTTAATTCTGCAACTATAGTGTTGTTGACGCGCACGCTAGGCTTGTGGTTCGCCCCTTTGTGTACTGCCGTTTAAAGTAATCAGTATCATAAAAAGTAAAAGTAGATAATCGTGTAAACTTTAAGAAATTTAAATTATCCCTTAATTTTTTCAAAACAATTAATTAATTATCTTAATTAATTTATCCTTAATTTTTTTCATTGACGTCTTTTTCTAATAGCCCCCAATGGCCAGTAAGGTTTCACCTCCAATTCGAAAGTTTGGGTCATGAATTAAAACATTTTCGATTTAGTATAATATTAGCTACGGAGGTTCGATTTTGTTTTCAATTTAAGTTTTCAATTTTAAAAAAATGGCATCATTATGGAAAAAAACGATAAAAACGATCGACAATTGTTTATATCAATTGTAATTGGCGAAAATCGGATATAGTTGGCCGATCATTATGAGAATATCATAAAACAACCAATTTATTACAAAAACCAAAAATTAAAAAAAAAATCCCAAACTTCTATCTTCAAAAAAACCAAAGTTGGTATTTTTACTAAACACCAAATACTATTTAGATAGGTTGAATCAACTGACCAAAAATATAATCTATACGAAGATATAATTTTCTATCTTCAAAAACACGAAAGGCGGGTCATTTCCGATAGTTCAGTTATATGGCAGTTATAGGATAAAGCCGGTCGATCCTTAAGAAATTTGGCATGTCGTATTATTTTGCCAAAAACAGCATTTATACAAAATTCATTTATACGAATTCACTAACTCTAAAAACACTGAAGTTATAGCATTTCCGATCAATCAGATATGTATATAGCAGCTATAGGATCGCCTATCCCGTTCCGACTTATATACTGCATGCAAAAGAAAGAAGGGTGTGCGCAAAGTTTCAAGTCGATAGCTTTAAATTTGAGAGACTAGCTTGCGTAGAAACAGACAGACGGACATGCTTATATCAACTCAGGAGGCGATCCTGATCAAGAATATATATACAGGGTCGGGTCGGAGATGTCTCCTTCACTGAGTTGCACACTTTTGGTCAAATCTTTGAAAAATCGAATGAAAATATGAAATTCACTGAATGGGGGCTCGTGGGGAAATTGGATTCTCTCAACAAAATAGTCTTATCTGTCAACTTTAAAAAATTTGGTTTCGAGAAACCCGCGATCAAAGTACGGTTTTCTACATGCCCTATTGCCCTAGTAGTCGACTGTTTATTATTTGAAATTTTGACAGGTTATTTATTTGATACTAAAGTATCCTATGGGCCAATAAACAGGCCCAAGTTTTCCGAGATTAAAAGAGTTACAGCAAAAATATCATATTATATATTTGGACCCCGTATATTAATCCCCTATTTGAATAGTTTTCTTTTCCGATAGATTCCAAAATTTGAATAATTTAAGTAATACAATAATATTCATTACATTCTCTTTAAATAGATAACTTATTATTAAAGAAGCCTGAAAGTAGGCGATAGAACGTAAAAATGTCCATATGTGAGAGATATCTTCGACACTATAAAGTATATGTGTACGGTACATTTATTCTTGACTATTCTTGACTCTCGTTTACGCTCTGTCAACTCCAAGCTGTGTCCATGACCTCTGCACTTTATCTCTGCATACAGCTTGGGTTCTGTCGGGAAAGTCCGTATTGAATAGAGAAGATAGAAAATAACTGTATATATGGATATGGGCATATAGGCTTATTTTTTTTCTTTTGAATAACATATTATATATATAGAAATGAGAAAACGTTACTTTAACCAAAAGCGTCGCGGAATAGGGTAAGAATTAATATCTGTGATAACGTAACGATTCCCAAAACATTCGTTTTGACTAGAGGAAACTTTGTGGTTAATAATTTGGTTTTTTTTTTAACACGATATGATATTTTTTGATAGTGATATATTTTTTATTAAGCGTGATTTATTTAAATCACTATTAAAAAACTATTTTAAAACTTTGTATAGATGATGTAAAAACAAGAAAGGAAAGCTAACTTCGGGCGGAGCCGAAGTTGATATACCCTTGCAGTTAAAACCATATATATATCGCAAACATCGGATATATTTGTACGATCCTTCCGATCATAATATAACCAATTTATAAAAAATAAAGCTAAAACAAAGTACCAAAGTAAAGTAAAGTACTATCTTCAAAAATACAAAAGTTGGTATTTTTACCAAATACCATTTCCGATCGTTCAGTTATCTGGCAGTTCCTTATGAAATTTGGTAGGTTGGATCAACTGACCAAAAATATAATCTTTTTCTAAGTCTTAGCTTTCTATCTTACGGGTTTGTTTGAGTTGTTATTTACAAAACATATTTCTAAATTTATAGATTTAGATAATACTTAATACATCTTAAATAAAATTAAACAAGAAAGGAAAGCTAACTTCGGGCGGAGCCGAAGTTTATATACCCTTGCAGTTAAAACCGGATATATATCGCAAACATCGGATATAGTTGGTCGATCCTTATGATTACATTATAATAAAACCAATTTACTAAAATACAAAATCTAAAAAAAGTCGCAAACTTCTATCTTCAAAAATACGAAAGTTGATATTTCTACCAAGTACCATTTCCGATCGTTCAGTTATATGGCAGCTATAGGATATAGTCGGCCGATCCTAATTAAATTTGGTAGGTCGGATCAACTGGCCAATAATAGAATCTGTATTAAGTTTCAGCTTTCTATCTTCAAAAACACGAAAGTAAGGTCATTTCCGATCGTTCAGTTATATGGCAGCTATAAGATATAGTCGGCCGATCCTTATGAAATTTGGCATGTCGTGATAATTTGCCAAAAATAGCTCTCGTGTCAAATTTGAACTCTCTAACTCTAAAAACACCAAAGTTATACCATTTCCGATCAATCAGTTATATGGCAGCTATAGGATATAGTTGGCCGATCCGGGCCGTTGCGACTTATATACTGCGTGCAAAGGAAAGAAGGGTGTGTGCAAAGTTTCAAGACGATAGCTTCAAAACTGAGAGACTAGTTCGCGTAGAAACGGACAGACAGACGGACAGACGGACATGTTCATATCAACTCAGGAGGTGATCCTGAATAATCAAGAATATATATAGGTGATCAAGAATATATATACTTTATAGGGTCGGAGATGTCTCCTTCACTGCGTTGCACACTTTTGGACAAAATTATAATACCCTCTGCAAGGGTATAATAAATTTACAAATTTATTTCTTTTTCTATGGGCTAGTTAAAGTGTGGGTGTTAAAGGTTGAAATGGGTATCATATAGTCGGGAAAATCGATTAAAGCGTTCTTTTTTTATTTTGATTAAAAAACAAGAAAGGAAAGCTAACTTCGGGCGGACCCGAAGTTTATATACCCTTGCAGTTAAAACCGGATATGTATCGCAAACATCGGATATAGTTGGCCGATCCTTATGGGAATAGGAATATATAATCCAATTTATTACAATACAAAATCTAAAAACAGTCCCAAACTTCTATCTTCAAAAATACGAAAGTTGATATTTCTACCAAATACCATTTCCGATCGTTCAGTTATATGGCAGCTATGGGATATATTCGGCCGATCCTAATGAAATTTGGTAGGTTGGATCAACTGACCAAGAATTAAATCTGTACTAAGTTCCAGCTTTCTATCTTCAAAAACACGAAAGTTGGGTCATTTCCGATCGTTCAGTTATATGGCAGCTATAGGATATAGTCGGCCGAAAATAACTCTCATGTCAAATTTGAACTCTCTAGCTCTAAAAACACCAAAGTTATACCATTTCCGATCAATCAGTTATATGGCAGCTATAGGATATAGTCGGCCGATCCGGGCCGTTCCGACTTATATACTGCGTGCAAAGGAAAGAAGGGTGTGTGCAAAGTTTCAAGACGATAGCTTTAAAACTGAGAGACTAGTTCGCGTAGAAACAGACAGACGGACAGACAGACGGACAGACGGACATGCTCATATCAACTCAGGAGGTGATCCTGATCAAGAATATATATACTTTATAGGGTCGGAGATGTCTCCTTCACTGCGTTGCACACTTTTGACCAAAATTATAATACCCTCTGCAAGGGTATAAAAATAAAGTGTTTTTGATACCTCACTGGACTATTCACTTAGGTTACGGATACGTCACTATATTTTTCAAATTAGCTAGTTTAAATTTCTAAACATATAACTAGCGGCAAGTTCTTCGAAAACGTCAAGTAAAACTAATTGTATTAGTAAAGCTTTGTAGGTATATAAAGGGCATTTATTTTGTAAGTCGCTCACGGACCTACGCTAAAAGGCAAGGTCACTTTAACTTTACTGCCCACTGACTTTTCCCTGACACTGTGCGTACATTTAAAATTCTTTAGGTAGTGACAAACAAAATAATTATAAATACATTATTTCATTTCGGGTCACAAACTAAACGGTCCATTAAACGGCTTAAATACCTCGCGCATGGAGTTTAAAAATAAAAAAAAATAAATAAATTCGTGTGGCTACGTAGATATGTTTCAATTACTGATCTGAAGTAGAAGAAAGAGGTTTAGAAATTGTATACAGCTATATTTGTTGGTTAACGAAGACAATGCACTGAATTGTATTTAAAACGTTTTTGCAGCATCATGCGTCAAATAGTAGTATTTGTACTAATTATCTGTACCTGCTATGCGCTAGCAGCTGACATATTAATGGCTACTCAAGGTAAGTGAATTTAAAAAAATAACAAGCGAGAAAATTTAAGCAACTATGTTTTCAGGTGGAACAAAGTCACACAAAATACCATTTTGGGAGCTGGCTAAAGGACTTATATCTAGGTTCGTATGACAAAATATTATACAAGTAGATATACAATATTGTACAATTTCACTATGTGAACGAGAACTTAAATGGTATAATCTAGAAACAAATAGAGTCTGCTCAGACTCTATTCTATCATAATCAGAGAATAGAATCAGTTCAAAACGCACCAAAACATTTTTATACCCTTGCAGAGGGTATTATAATTTTGGTCAAAAGTGTGCAACGCAGTGAAGGAGACATCTCCGACCCTATAAAGTATATATATTCTTGATCAGGATCACCTCCTGAGTTGATATGAGCATGTCCGTCTGTCCGTCTGTCCGTCTGTCTGTCTGTCCGTCGGTCCGTCTGTCTGTCTGTTTCTACGCGAACTAGTCTCTCAGTTTTAAAGCTATCGACTTGAAACTTTGCACACACCCTTCTTTCCTCTGCACGCAATATATAAGTCGGAACGACCGGAATCGGCCGACTATATCCTATAGCTGCCATATAACTGATTGATCGGAAATGGTATAACTTTGGTGTTTTTAGAGTTAGAGAGTTACACGAGCGCAATTTTTGGCAAAATAATACGACATGCCAAATTTCGTAAGGATCGGCCGCCTATATCCTATAGCTGCCATATAACGGAACGATCGGAAATGACCCAACTTTCGTGTTTTTGAAGATAGAAAGCTGGAACTTGGTACAGTTCCAGTTCCATTATATTCTTGGTCAGTTAATCCGACCTACCAAATTTCATACCGATCGGCCGACTATATCTTATAGCTGCCATATAACTGAACGATCGGAAATGGTTTTTGGTTGAAATACCAACTTTGGTATTTTTGAAGATAGAAGCTTGAGACTTTTTTTAGATTTTGTATTGTAATAAATTGGATTATATATTCATATTCCCATAAGGATCGGCCAACTATATCCGATGTTTGCGATATATATCCGGTTTTAACTGCAAGGGTATATAAACTTCGGTTCCGCCCGAAGTTAGCTTTCCTTTCTTGTTTTGTATAGATTTGGTGATTTGTTGATGTTTCATGCTGTGCTCGGGTCTTATGTGTGACGCGTTGAAAAGTAGCATTTACATAATTACATTTCTTTGTTCGGTAGATGCTAGTGGTTATGAAACAATTATTTACAAATTATTCGAAGCGTTTAAAAAATGTTAATTTTATTTTGTCAACCGGTGCAATTTTATTTTTATGTTAGCTTTAAGCAGGTAGGCAGTAAATATATTATATAATATATATTATTATATAATAAATATAATGTATTATTCCAAAAAAAAAAAGTTAAGAGGCTATGCTCAAAAATATTCACTACTTTATAATTAAGAAATTTAAATGAATAAATTAAATTTTTTCGACATTGCAGAGGTCACAATATTACTTTTCTAAATGGATTTCCGGCAGATTTTCATGTTGAAGGCCTTCACGAGGTAACACCTGCCGGCCTCGTTGAATATATTCAAAATTATACGAATTGGGACTTATTGGGCTCACGAATGGCTGGAGAGATGCCCATTAAACCTTGGGATGGACTGCGATATGCCTTTGAAGTAAGTTTATTTTCATGGTAACTATATGTTTATAAATATGTTTGTAAATACCATTATTATACCGCTGCAGAGGGTATTATAATTTTGGTCAAAAGTGTACAACGCAGTGGAGGAAACATCTCCGACCATATTAACTATTCATATTCTTGATCGGGATCACCTCTTAAGTCTATTTAAGCAAGTTCGTCTGGCCGTCTGCATGACTGTATGTCTATCTCTTTCTACGCAAACTAGTCTCTCTATTTTGAAGCTATAGAATTGAAACTTTCAACAAACCCCTCTTTCCTTGTAAGCAGTCTATAAGTCGGGACGTCCGACTATATCCTTTAGCTGCCAAATAAATAATAGATCGGAAATGCCATAACTTTGGTGTTTTAAGAGTTCTATCTTTAGCTAAAACATCTGACTTTCCATCTGACTTTTACATACATATAACTAAAAGATCGGAAACCACACAACTTTCGTGTTTTTAGACATGATAAGTTGGAATTTCTTACAGATTCTATTGGGCAATTGCTCTGACCTACGGAAGTTCCTAAGGATCGGCCGACTATAATCATCCTATACACTATATCCTAGATCGGAAATGATTAAATTTTGGTATTTTTGAAATAGGAGGTTGGGCCATAAGAATCGGGCAACTATAACCGATATTTGCGATACATATCCGATCTAAAATGCAAGGGTATATCAACTTCGGTTCCGCCCGAAGTAAGCTTTCCTTTCTTGTTATACCCTTGCAGAGGGTATTATAATTTTTGTCAAAAGTGTGCAACGCAGTGAATGAGACATCTCCTTCCCTATAAAGTATACAGTGGTGACCACAAGTTCAGCCCACTATGCCTCACCCAACGTTTATGGTGTTTTATTTTGCTCTCCTTTCCTTAGATTGAGGTGTTGGTGAAGACTTAGGAAAAATTTTCAAATTTTTTTTTTTGTCATTTTTCTATAATTACCGTTTTCTTGTGAAGCTCACCAAATTCTGCTGGTCACAAGCACACAAAAACAGATTGCTATTGATATTCGCTTCTCCGTAGAGAGTTTTAGATAAAAAGAAATTTTTTTTAGATAAACAATTTTTAGAAAACAATTTTAGATAAAAAGTATAAAAAGTACGTAATTTTATTTTGCTTTAAAACTAAGAGACTTGTTTGCGTAGAAACAGATAGACGGACATGCTCATATCAACTTGCGCATACTAAGGATTCCAGTTCGTTACTTGCAATTATTCTCGAACTAATTCGTACAATAACAGTTAATAATTCGTAAAATAACAGCAAGTACGAAGGCGTATGCGATGAGATAAAATGTGAGAGTAAAGCTCGATAGTTGAAGATGCTGACAATAATAAATACACATACATACATACATATATAATTAGTTGATTTTTTAATTTTACAAAAAAAAGATTTCTAAAATTTATTTTTAAGTTGTCTGCAGAAATCAGTAACTAATCAGTAGTAAACATAAAAGCTCTGTCCACTTTGATAGAAATCATCTTATCCTTCAGCCTTCCCGACGTGGTGCATTACAGTCCTTAATGTTATGGGACTTGTCTCTACCCCGTAAATAATTGGCTCGGTAAGCTTTTTAAGTGGGGCCGAATCAAAACCTGGAACGGCACTCTTTCATGCGTCACAAATTAAGCAGACGCTTTGCTTACTTTAGAGGGTTAATGGGTCTTTAAGTGTTTTACACAGTTAAAATTTTCAAAAAATCCAAAAATTTTTTTTTCATTTTTTTCTAATTTACATTTACATACATTTAAAGTTTAAACTAAATACGATAAATGTTTTCCGAGCTAAACATTAATTTTTGTGGGCATGTCAGAGTATCTTAAAGGGAGCCCGATAACAATGCACGCGTTTTCTTAAAAAAAACGTTTTTAAAGTCGGTGATCTCGATTTCTCAAAAATGGATAAGCTTATCGGTCCGAAAATTGTAAACCTTGGATATATACACCAGATAACGGGTAAAGAAATTTTTTTCAAAATTTAAAATATTTTTTTTTTTTTACAGTTTAATGAACAAATGTTTACCAAAAATTTTTTTTTTTAAAGTTCAGCCATTTTGTCAAAAAAAAGGAATATTTTAAAAGTCTTCCTTCATTACCTGCATTTGTTTATTCTTTGAAAGAACCAGCTCAAGTTCTCATTGGAAATTTTTAAAGATGCAGATTTTTTATAGACTCGCAACTGCATATAACCTTATAAGGCTCGGTGTTTTGTGGTTCCGATTCATACTGCTCTGTATGGCAATCCAATAAGTGCCTCTTTAGATTGCTTACATATTTATACCCTTGCTGAAGGTATTATAAATTTGGTCAAAAGTGTTGAACGCATTGAAGGAGACATCTCCGATAAATCTCCTATCCGATAAGACATCTCCTATAAATTATATATATTCTTGACCAGGATCACCTTCTGAGTTGATATAAGCATGTCCTTTTGTCTGTCTGTCCGTATGAACGTCCTGAAAAACAAATTTCTAGTTTATGTCAAATTTTTGCCACACCCACTCCTTCCCCCAAAACAGAAATCTACTTGTAGCGACAGTTGGTTAATGTAGTTGGAAAATGTTTTGATACCAAACTGTTTAAATGGATAATCTACACCTACAAATCAAGCACAAAAGCAGCCAAATCGGATCATTTTTAGAGGAGTTATAGACTTTTTATACCCTTGCAGAGGGTATTATAATTTTGTCCAAAAGTGTGCAACGCAGTGAAGGAGACATCTCCGAACCTAAAAAGTATATATATTCTTGATCAGGATCACCTTCTAAGTTGTCTTGTTTCCTTTTTCTTCACAAACCCTTTCCTTTGTACGCAGTATATAAGTCGGAACGGCCGGGATAGGCCGACTATATCCTATAGCTGCCATATAACTAATTGATCGGAAATGGTATAACTTTGGTGTTTTTAGAGCAGTGGTCGGCACCCCAATACATTGATATGATTTAACCGTATTAGTGTTAGTACCGAATAGCAGAAAGTAGGCTGTGAGCATGACGTTTCACACATTTATACTGTGTGTGTGTGTCAGAGCTCGGGCAGAGAAATTTCCTATGCCCCCGAGATAGGGCCGTGCCGACCTCTGTTTTAGAGTCATAAGGATCGGCTGTCTATATCGTATAGCTGACATATAACTGAACAATCGGAAATAACATTTGGTAAAAATACGAACTTTGGTTTTTCGAAGATAAAAGCTTGGGACCTTATTTTTGTTTTTTATTGGAATAAATTGGTCATATTATGAAATTCTCATAAAGATTGGACAACTATATCAACTTCGGCTCCACCCGAAGTTCTTTTTTTTATTTGAATCTTTTTTTTTATTTTCGAAAATCTTCTCAACAATGACTGTACGTTTAATTACCCATCATTGTAATGTCAAAACTAATAACACAGCAAAAAATCTCCACGCATAATTTCATCTGATCCATAACCTTTACGCTCCCCTGAACCAAAGTCCAGACAATAAGTAGGTCATGGCTACCTAAAATCCGTCCACAACTTTGGAATAAAATATAAACAAAGCTTAGTAGCTTTATTAGCTTTATCTTAGCTCAGGGCTTAAGGGGGGACATCTGAGTAACTGGGGAAAAAACCGGATTTTCTGGAATTTTTTTCGGCCAATTCTTCAGCATTTCTTTGTAAGCCCTATTATTTTAAAGGGGGTACATGGCCGGAAAGCTAACGTCCTTAATTTTTGATGTAGAACAAAAAATCAACTTTTGTTAGTTTCTATACATCAACACCGACACACGAAGGATTTTTGCAATTTATTGATTTTTTGCAAAATGGTAAGAAATTAAAAAAAAAATTAAGATTTTCACAAAAAAAAAAGTTACAAAATTGTTGATAAAAAAAAGTAAGCAGTATAAAAAAAAATCCTACGTGTACCGATAGATAAATGTATTTTAAATATACTGTCAAATTCAAATTCAAATTCTGCATATTCAAAATAGATCGGTTAAGATGTGTTCAAGTTATGTTTCCGGCCGTCTCAAAAAAAGTGGTTTCGAGATAAACGCGTTTAAAGTTTTAAGTACTTTGGGATATACCTGTGAGGCACCGCCGCAGAATGGAAAAATTTCGATTTTTTCAAAACTCTACTCAGATGTCCCCCCTTAAGGTAGCCATGATATTAAAAAAATATATATATATTTAGAACTCCAATTTAATCGAAGAAAATGTTGTTTAACTAACTATAATATATTCAATAAAATTATTTCGAGCTTTTCCTTAAATCCAAAAATAAAACATGTACGACACCCTGATTTCAATAAGAAAAATTCTTCCGTAGAAAGACAAATCATAAAAGCATAAAGCATTTGAGGTGGCATACATACATTTTAAAAATTTGGTTCATTTATTCTACTAGGTGTACCGTGGAAACTGTGTGTGATGGAACCTATGTTTTTCTGGACTTCGGTTCAGTGTAGCCTAAAGGTTATTGAGAAGTGGAAATTATGATTAGAGGAACTAATTAGAGGAACTTCATTTCTTAATAAATCATAACTGGATTTATCTATTTAAAATTGACACACTCTTGTGCACTCTAAAGTGAAATTGAAGCTAAATTTTGAGTGAATGTGTTTGTGTGGCACCCTTGATTGAATAAATGTTTTTGCATATGATAACGGTAGTATGTAGAATTTCAGGAAAAATATACGTACATATGTGGTAACTTCTGAAACAAAAAATTTCCTTTTTATTTACAGTCGTGTGATGCTATGCTTGGAGATGCAGAGACTAAAGAGCTAATGAACCGTAGTTTTGATCTGGTCATATTAGATGGAGCCTTTCCAGAATGCCTTTTAGGTTTAGTGCACCAATACAAGATTCCATTCATGTACATAAACACCGTAGGTTTTTACACGGGCAGTCTCTCGGTTGCAGGAAACCCTGGAAGTTATGCCATAACCCCAAACTTTTATTCCCGGTTTACGGATACTATGAGCCTATACGAGCGGGCTATAAATACTGGGATGCAGATCGGACAAAGTCTAATGCACATGGTAAGAAATGTTTTTAGCGTGTGGACTACCAAAAGTTCAAATATATTTTTGTTCCCAGTACGTTATGCGACGAACACATCTGGTATTGCGGCACCACCTCGGCTCCCATATACCACATCCTTATGAAATTTCCCGAAATGTTAGCTTTATTCTTCAAAATGGACACGCTGTGGTATCCTATCCAAGAGCTTTCAATCCGAATGTGGCTGAAGTTGCATGTATTCATTGTAAACCACCTAAGAATCTTCCCTGGGACTTGGAGGAATTTATTGGAGCCTCTGGTGCCTCTGGATTTATTTATGTATCTATGGGATCCTCGGTAAAAGCGGCGAACATGCCGGTGTCCCTTCGTCAAATGTTAATTAAAACTTTTGCGAGGTTGCCGTACCATATATTATGGAAGTATGAGGGCAGCGCCGCAGATATGCAGGATCTTACTTCAAATGTAAAGCTTTCAAGATGGCTACCACAGCAGGATATTCTTGGCCACCCAAAGCTCCGTGCATTTGTCACTCATGGAGGCCTGCTTAGCATGTTCGAAACTGTTTTTCATGGAGTGCCCGTTGTAACAATGCCAGTTTTCTGCGATCATGATGTCAATTCAGCCAAGGCAGAAGTGGATGGTTATGCGATAAAACTTTATCTTGAGACATTATCGGCGAATCAGCTTTATAAATCCATTATGAAAGTGATTCATGATCCCCGTTATAGAAACGCAGCTCGATACCGTCAAAAGCTGTTGCTGGATCAGCGCTCATCAGCTTTAGAGACTGCCATTTATTGGACGGAATATGTATTGCGTCACAAAGGAGCTTATCATCTACAGGCTCCTTCTCGAAATATGTCGTAGGTTACTTAACATTCTTTTTGTGTCCATATTGTAAACATATTTATAATTTTTTTTTAGTTGGTGGCAATACTATTTACTGGATGTAGTCGCGATGTATTTTCTGGCCCTATATAGTCTTATTCTTTTACTTAAGCGCATGGATTTCCGGACTGAAAAGTTTCGAAATCTTCCTACATCTATGTCCTCTACATCAGCAGAAGTTAAAACAAAGTTGAAAAAACCTTAACTCTAATTTGGCTTTGGATAATTCTCGCAAATTGTCGATCTTTAAGGGATTAGTTGTGATTTTTACGTATTTGATAAGAAAACACCGAATTCACCGTGGCTTCTTTTTTTAAATGTTAACACATAAAATGATAATTATGGAAAAACTTCAAATATGCAAACATTCCTGTTGTGACATTAAATAACCAAGCAGAAACTTTACCCTGGATAATTGAAACCAAAGTATGCAAAACACATTGTTAAACTAAATTTAGTTACAATAAAGCTTATCTTGTAAGTTTTATACACTTAAAGTAACCTATGTTTATTTTTTATTTAAACAAAAATGCCAAGATTTTATCACAAATTACACATGGGGATAGTTTTACTTGCTCCATATCCTTTAGACTCACCTGAACCAAAGTCTAGACTCTAAAGCAACTATAACTCGTGCTATTTTTTTGTCTGCCATAAAAACTATTGCTTGTATAATTCATAGCAACCCAAATATAAAGAAATAAAATGATAGATTTAACTTTTGATTTCATAGATTCCCACGTATTCCCACGATATGCCAAACGCTAGATTTCATTTATTAATTTAACTTGGGACCTATACATTTATTCAATAATGTATAAAAAAGGTGTGCTCATCGCATCTATATGGCATATATTACTCAAAATATGCTAAAATTTGAGCTGCTAAAATTTATTCTGTAGGTGTACCGCGGAAACTGTCTGGACTTTGTTTCAGGGGTGCTTAAAAATTATTGAGTAAGTAATTTGTTATGCTACTGATACTGGAACTAAAGTCAAATTGCAATACTTAAAAAGAAGGTTTAGATAAACAAGTAATCAAAACATACATGAAGTTAGTGTTTAATATGATGCAAAATATCTATTTTTTTTAATCTGAAATTGAATCAATATTTTTATTATAAAACCAGCTATAAAGTAATAATGATTTAGATTTTATCATCATGAAAGAACTTTTATATTTTTGGAAGCGTTTAAAGAGCGTTTAAATTCTGTTCAGAAAAAATTAGCTAAATTTGCAGAGAAAAGCTTAGTTTTGTAAGTGACGAAAAAAAGTATCCTTTATTATCTATATTGAATATAGTATAAAATTGTTTGATGTAATTTAGTAAAAAACAAGAAAGGACGAATGTAGTCGAGTGTTCCGACTATATTATACCGATACTCATCTCTTCCACCAACACTTTAACTAAAGTTTAAAGTTTAAAATTTTGGATTCACAGCAAAAAATTGTTATTGCATACTTTTTGGCTTGGGGAAAAACATATAGTTTTATAGAAGCAGGTCAGTAAGGACCCCATTAGAAAATATGCCTTACAAATCTATGGAGTTAAGGCGAATGCAAACGTTAATAAAATAAGAGTTGCCCAAATTAAGGTTATGAGGACGAACATCGAAAGGGACCTGAAGATCCCTCTGAGCAAACAATTTTTCTCTGAGCGAAAAATATTCGTTATTCTCTGAGCGAAAAAATAATCATTCATAATTGAATAATCATCATTAAAATCAGACTCCGACTTCTATTATTTGCGTTTTTGGTGTTATACGGATATTCCATCCCTTACTTTATGTCTTACAGACTAGTCCCGTAGAGAGTTTCAGTCGACAGATGTTTTTCGCTAAGCCAGACATTTTATGCCGTAAAACCTATTGTTTTTCTGTTCCTAAAATCTTTTCTTCTTTACCCATACATACAGATACATACATACACACCTTTTCAACCTTGTCGTGGAAATTTCTGTAAAAATTTAAAATAAATCTACCAGATGCTCCTTTATTTAAACATCTGTGCGCCCAATAATATGCGCAATAATATGATAATTGATTACAGGTATTACAATAGTTTAACGGTCTACGGAGAAAGCATATGGATGTTTATTTAAATAGAATTCATATTTCATTTATGCAAACTCTTGTGTAGTATCTCTATTTTTATCAGAATCAATTTTTATAAAATTTTCCACCTAAAAAATAAAATTTATACATACGTAAGTATGTATGTACATACAGGAATACTTCGAAACCGGACAACAACCATTTTCAAAACTTACAAAAATAAAATACTCAACAGGAATCTCAGTTCATTATTTTAAAAACTCGACTATTTCCTTTTTTTTTGGTAAAGAGAGAATTATTGGAAAAGTGGCTTTTGGAAAAGAGATGCAAAGAGCGAACCAAAGGGAACATATGGCATCAAGGGTGAGTGTGCGAGGGTGTGCGTTTGTTATACCGCCGACACACACAGTCGGAGCTAAATGCATCATCCATTTTAAGTCAACACCATTTTATTCGAGCTATGGTGGTGGTTGTACAGACAAATACGACAGATCGGAACAGAAGTTGAAAAACCAGAATTCGACGTAGCCACAGATACGAAAACTCTACAAAAATACAAAACAGTTTTTGAAGATACGCACACTCGGAAGGTGGGACAGACGCAATAAATAGCATTGAAATAGTGATTTCAATGCTAAAGCCGCTTAAGCGGTTTCGTGGTTTATTTTTTACTGTTTTGATTGTGCTTGTACTTTATCAAACTAGATATACTTTTCATATTTTAGTAATTTAAATTTGTTATTTATCGAAAGTTTCTCACTTGAATATGGATCCGAAATCAGCCCCAAATATTGTTTTTGAAAACGGAACACTTCTGGGATTAATGCCCCAACGTCAATCAACAAGACACTGTCACTCGTTCGTCATTCCTGAAATCGTGATTAGTTCCAGTCAAAGCAACAACAGCCTCCACAGAAATCGCGAAGAAAGCGGAGGCCGTGCCGTGAGCACAAATTCAATTGATAGAACATTAGGAACCTGCAACGACCATAAAATCTGCTCGGGACAGTGTGTTTTACGTCCATGCGGTGTAATTTCATCAAACATGCCCAACGCAAGCGCTGACTTACGATCTGCTTCTGAGTCCAAAAACGAAACGTGTTCGGACGGGAATTCTATCAGAGCAAACAACACAAATAGCTCGGCATCCGAAACAACCGTTATGGCTGCTCTGGAGATCGGATTTCCGCCCCAATACAGTAACATATATCGAGATTGTCGACAAAACCTTATGGGTAGCGAGTCTGTTACCCCACAAGCGCAGCAAGCGAGATACATACCGCCTGAAGGAGATCGTACAAGTAGCATACAATATTTTCAGTGCTGCCAGCAACTACCAGAAATCGCGCATCAAAATTCTCATCATGACCACAGGTGAATTAAAACAATTTAAATTTAAATTTATTTTTATAAGAAATCTGATTCCAAGTACAATAAAATATATAAAGGAGAGATACGAACAAAATTTTTTTAAGTAAAATAATTATTATAAATTTTTTTTATTATAATATTTAGATTTGCAATTAAATTCAATAATTATTTTTAATGATTAACTATCATAAAATATTATTTGGTATTGCCATTTTTTTTACATTTAAAAAGGGAATATTTCTATCTTCATAAATAATTTGACCACCAATTATAAAATTAAAATAATCAGCAAATATGAAGAAAACTAGGGTGTATATTACAAGGTCATAACATTTTTCTGAATAATGAAAAACAGATTAGAAACTTTAAAACTAGTTTGACAATGAGTGTCTACACGAAAGGAACTATTTATGTATATCCTTTGTGGATACCTACCTGCTAAAGAAATATCGAGAACTGAAATAGAGTCGACCCCAGGTAGTTAATAGTGGTAAATTCTTATGTGTATTTTTAAAATTGCAGCACTACAATGAACGTAACTGTACCCATATCTGGCCGTTCTTTTGAGACTGGTGGTATTTTGTTAAATACCAATAGTACTAACATAACTAGGTCGTCCAGCGAAGTACCGGTAGGAGGATGCAGTATACGAAAGTGGTTCCTACGTCCTTCATTGCCCTTTGTTATTGGTGTCTTTGCTCTTGGAGGTGTAGCATGTACTCTTGGTGGCATTGTGCTTGGATGTACGGGTCTTTTGGAACACTCAACTCAATATTTAAGCGCGGCCCTTTTAATGATAGGAATTGGAGTATCATTAATAGTTATTTCTGGTGCTATCTGGAGACTAAGTCTTCTTGACGATGTGGATGATTGCAGATGCTTTAGGCGTTTTGAAACTTGCCGGAACTGCCACAACCCTCAATGCAACAATCGACAGCTTCGAGATGGCTACATTTATCCTGAATTTCAGCATCGTCCACCACCACCTTCTTATCTAACTTCACTTAACGAGTACACACTTGTTTACTACCCGAATATCCATTCTATCGGAATAACCACTCCACCCCCACTGTATCGATCAACATACTCGCTCAAGTAAGCTTATAAATATTTACATAGATTTGACTCTTTAACCAAACTATTTTTTTTTTAATTACAGCGTTTTAGGAGCGATCGTCCCATCTGCAGGAATATCCCAATTACAAGAAAACGTGATCCTTAAAAATGATCGGTCTCCATCCGTCACTATTAAAAGAGTAAAATCATTCGATCAATTAACAAGCACAGATATCTCTGAGGCTGGACCCTTAATACAGGGTACTGAAGATGACACAACAGAAAAAGATGATTCTCTTATTGAAATTTGTAAGGTATAGGTTTTTTTTTTAATATGCTCCTTATGATATTGTCTTGACCAACTACAGTATCAACTAAATTCATTATTAAAGATTGAAAAATAAAAATTCCCTATCGTCAAAGCTGTATGTCTTTTACATAAACATATGTATATGTACTGTTTAATTTACTAATTGTTTAATAAACATAAAAGGAAAGCTAACTTCAGCGGGAGACGAAGTTTTTATTGAAGTTAAGATTGGCTACATATCGCTATAGTCGCATAATATTGGCTATAGTTGGCCGATCCTTATAAGAATTTCATTATAAAACCAATTTATTGGAATACAACTTTTTAAAAAGAGTCCCATCAACATTTTACAACATTTTAAAAAAAGTCGCAAGCAATTTTCAAAAATACCAAAATTGGTTCATTTGTTATCTTCCAGTTATATGGCAGCTATAGGATATAGTCGGCTGATCCATATGATCCACAATTACTACAACATTATTCGGACCAATTGGCAAAAAATAGAATCCAAGAAAATTCCAACTTTCTAGCTTTGAAAACATTAAAGTTATGGCATTTCCAATCAATCAGTTATATGGCAGCTATAGAACTTAGTCGGCCATACATAACATAAGAAAAAAGGTTGTGTGCAAAGTTTGAAGTCGATAGCATTAAAACTGAGAGAAAAGTTCGCGTGGAAACAGACAGAAGGCATGCTTATATCAACTAAGGAGGTGATCGAGATCAAGAATATATATATCTCACTGCGCACGGCGGTGCTCATGGTGGCGAGCCGCATGTCATAGCGTGCGCTTGCAGTTCAGTTTCTCTAATTAGATAATTTTTACCAAAAACATTATCAAGACAAAACTTTTGCCAAAAGTCTATTAGTTTGAAAGAAATTTGCGTAAAAGTGAAATAAATTGGGACTAGAGGAGGCATTGGAGTGTCCAGACAAAATATTTTGATCTAATAACATTTTAAGTTCAAAAATGCGTCGATTGACGTCTCAAATCCCAATCCTACTTTATGTCTAGAAGTTCTTCAAGAAAATCCGATTTTTCTTCTTCTTTAAAATTAAACCTAATGTGTCCTAAACCTAATGCTAAAGGTATCCTTAATTTCATTAAAAGGTGGTCAGAAGAATTTAACGACCCCTAAATTACTAAAAGCTAATTCATTTTTTCGGTCCGTCCCTAATATGGAGTACATGAGGATTACATAGAATCCGTACAAAAAAATGTCTTAACTTTTCCACTTAGAGGTCTTAACTGGGATGCAAACCTTCATCTTTCATCTTATAGTAGTAGACTCCTACCAATAAACTTACCAAGCTTAACTAATCGTAGGACAATGTTGGGTGTAGCTTTTCTACATAACCTTAGCAATGGGCAAGTAGATAGCTAGCATTTACTAACACGCTTAAATTTTAACGTTCCATATGCACAGCACGACTCTTTTAGGGTCTTATGTTCGAACTACAATAGTCTCTACCCTTTCTTAGTAGAGATTTTCTTACTAACTCCTAGCTTAATAAACTACAAATAGCTTAATATATACTAATAAATCGTTTCTCGAGCGCCCCTCGGTCGTCTGGGCCTCTAAGCTTTATGATGAATACAGGAATGCTAGACGATGCTGTAATTAATGCACAAGCCATTCCCAAAATTCTAAAAGTCCATGAAACAAAAAAAATATCTGGAATAACTCTAGAGCCCATGGTATAAAGTGGGTAAGGGTGGTTCGCCTACTGAATTTCGAAGTAATGCCTAATCGGTATTTGATAAAAATCTGCAGTTGCCATAATGACTTTATCGATGGTCTTCTTTCAACATTCTTGTGCCCGCGCTGATGTTCAAGACGATTTGTTCACCCAGTTTTTGGCCAGAGAACATTTTCGTCCAAGAACATCAGCTCAGTGCCGTAAAGAAAAAACTTTTAAAACCAGTGGGAGTGAAACTTTCCCATATCAGAACCTTCCACCTCTTCTTCGTTCAATAATCCAAAAAACTAATATCGTCACAAACACTTACCTATCAGAATACTAGGGGGCTACATGATACAATTATATAATTATATAATAATAACAATTATTTATTATATAATTGGGGGGCTACTTAGCAAACTCCCTAAACTATATTCTGATAGCTTTTTCTTTGCATCCCATATGAAAAATGGTTTTTCAACCTTTACAGAAACTTGGCAAAAGCCGGAGATCTTTAGCTCCGAAGTTTTTTGTCCACTATTCAATCCGTTTTTAATCTTATGATCGGTCGTTAATTTTAATAGCCTTATCGATACATATGATTGACTTTAATTCACTTTTTGAGTCATGTGTGCCATGGAAATATCCGTCCGTTTCAACAAATCCTCTTTGGTTTACAAGGTGCCTCACAAAATTAAAAAATATTAAAAAGAGGCTCTTACTTAAATATAAAAAAACCTGCATTAGTATAGATTTGTCAAGATAGCTACTATCTCGGTCAAATTTTACCGTGCATAACGCTGAATTTTACAGGATTTGAATTGGACAGGATTTGTTGCTTTCGGATACAATTTACTTAGGATCCAAAGAAGTTTTACAACTTTGTAAACACTTATCGTAAACATGTATCTTTTCCACCTCTTCATACGTGTGAAAATTCATCTGCGACCTCTGATCAGGCCATTGCACAGTGGTCCGGCTTGTATGGGGAGAGCGGCCAAAAATACTTCTAGTTGAGGTAGGGACTGGAAACTTGGCACAAAATATTTATATTTTTATTCTAAAATAATATGTTAAAATCAGCCAGATCGGGCAACTATATCATATAGCTGTCATATAACTGATTGATCGAAAATGCTATAACTTTGGTGTTTTTACAGTTAGAGAGTTCAGTTTTTGTACGAGTGCTATTTTTGACAAAATAATACGACCTACCAAATTTCACAAGGATCAGCCGACTATATCCTATAGCTGCCATATAAATGTTTGATCGGAAATGACCCAACTTTTGTGTTTTTTAAGATAGATAGTTGAAACTCGTACAGATTCTATTTTTGGTCAGTTGATCCAACCTACCAAATTTCATAAGGATCGGCCGACTATATCTTATAGCTGTCATATATCTGAATGATCGGAAATGGTTTTGGTAGAAATACCAACTTCGGTGTTCTTAAAGATAAAAGTTTGGGACTTTTTTTTTAGATTTTGTATTGTAATAGATTAGTTATATTATGATATTTTCATAGGGATCGGCGAACTATATCTGATTCTTGCGATATATATCCGCTTTTTTCAAATTGCCAAACAAAGAACGTTCACAATTATGTACTAAATACAACAATGATTTACACAAAACACAACAAATACTACATATACTTTTTATTGTAAAAAGAAAGTTAATACCTTTCTTTAAAATATTAATAACTTCCATGGCACAAACCCTTGTTTTAAAAATGTTTAATAAGTTTTTTGCGGAGAGCTTCACTTGCACGTTTCTTACGCTGCAATACACAATGAATATCATGCTATCATTTCGATGCTATTCTTGAAGCGGACAGACAGATTAAGGATGTAGTCTCATGTGTGAGGTTAAAAAAATCAATTTTTTTTTTTTTTTATATTTTGATAGTGTTGTTTATTATGAATGTACTGTTAAAGTTTCAAATAAAAATATCAAATAATGACAGAGATACAGCCCATAATCGAGAGCGCGCCTACACCGAAAAGTATGAGTTTCTCGGTAGCGTCTAAACTTTAAACGCGTTTTTCTCGAAACGACATTTTTGTGTGCGGCGCAGGTGATTCACAAAATTCTATGGTACCGATCTAGCTGAAATTTGGATATGTTGTTCTAAAAAGTAACACCTCTGTCCCGTACTAGAATCATTTATTTTTAATGATTAGTTTTTTTTTTATCATTAATTTAAGATAAATTTTTTAAATTTTTTTTAATTTTTTGTTTTGTGAGTTCGCCATTTTGTTGTTTATTGATGAAAATATTTCATTCTAGTACGGGACAGAGCCATTAGCTTACAAAACAATAATCTATTCTAATTTTTTGTTTCGGATGACTCTAGCAGACGAAATCACCTGCGCCATCTTATCTATCTTTTTTTTTTATATGCATACTTTGGCATGCTATAAAGTGTATTAAACTACACAAGAATAAATTAAACAAAATATTTTCAAATAGTTTATGATGCTTATAAAAACATATTTGAAAATTGAAACGATGGCATTATTTTTTATTACAAAAAAAATTTTTTTAAATAACCTCTAAAAAGTAGGCCGGCACATGAGACTACATCCTTAAAACAAAAAGATGAATAAATTCAAATAGCTAGACCAATTATAAATAAGAATTGGTACATTTAAAGTCAAAATTTGGACTTTGGTTTTTTTATTTTTGGCCTACGGGCTGGACCACTGTGCATTGCCGACCTTTTCCAAAAATTTTTCAAACAACTTATTCTCCGCCTAAAATGACAGATCAGCCTTACGAATACAACTTTCAATCAGAAAATCTTATTTTCTGTCCGTTTTTCTCCGATAATAGCTTATTATTTTTTTTTTTTTAAGGGTCAAACCCGTTTATTCGCCAGGCCCCGATGGAGTACCAGGCTATGTGCTAAAATACTGTGCCAGGGCTCTGTGCAAACCTTTTCATAGACTTTTCAACCAAATTTCATGAGGATTGGCCATTATATCCTAAAGCTGTTATATAACTGAACGACCGGAAATGGTATAAGGTAAAAATACCATTGGTATTGGTATTTTTAAAGATAGAAGCTGTGGACTTCTTTAAAATTTTGTATTTTAATAAATTGGTAAACATCGTTCATAACTGCAAGGGAAAATCAACTTCAACTCCGCCCAAAGTTGGCTTTATTTTCTTATTTGTTTTACATCGTCGACGTTGAAGTCCTCTAGAAGAATTCTCGATGCAGTTGGATATTCGTCTCTGTGATCCTGCGCCAGCTGCTCCATTACCCTTACAGCCAGATAGGGCCCACAAGCTGTTCCATGACTACCAGTGCGTAGCTGGTAGTGCTTCAAAGGCGCAGTTGGATGCTCTCGCCATATGATTCGTTGGTAGTTTTGGTGATCGGTGCTTACCCAAACTTGGCGAAACATCATGACAATGTCTACGGAGAATACTTATCTATACATTCTGAAGCGTGGGCAAACGGAATGAAAGATTGCGGGGAATGACCCTCAGTTTTCGCCCTACTATAAGGTGATGGTTCAGATAGAAAAGGTTACCTGAATTGTTGCTTAATCCCCTGACTTCGATCATATTGCCAAGGCTGATGTATTCCTGCATGAATTTTACGTACTTTTCTCGTAGATTCGGATTGCAATGCAGTCGTTTTTCTACAGCCATGAAGCGAGATTGTGCTTCTTCAAGTGTGTCTGCAAACTTTGGGTTTGCCGTCTTAAATGGTGGCTCGCTGATATACTTTCCATCGTCGTCCCGTTTGTGCGTCCCGAGGAAAAGTTTTGTCGACCGTCTTCTATCTCCCTATCAATTTTTTATGTGGAGAATAGCGTAGTACTTGTTGGAGACTGATAAACTCCAAGTTGGAGTCTCCAACCGATGTAATGACCCATTTAAAAATCAAGGATATGGCAATAAGATTGCCCATGTTTTCGTGCATCTTTTGTCCCATTAGTCCAAATTGTCCCGTGGTCCAAACGTAGTCGCTCCCCAATAGAATGTCTATGGGAGCCACTGATTCGAAGTCGATAGCCGCCATCAGAAATCCATCGAACACCTTGAGCGATGATGGATCGTTGTTGTTTCTCTGCAAAGACAATGAAATATTACTGAGAACGTGTGCAGTAAACTTCAGTGGTTGTGAGTGCCTGTGAGTCGTTATTTGAGATTCAGCTGTGTTAATGCAACGTTCCAAAATGTAAAGCATCTCAGAACCACTGTCCTATAGAAGCCGGCAGTGTGTAAATGTTCCATTTGCGTTCTGAAAATATACCAGTGTCGGTAGTATACCTTAGCAACGCCCATGTTTGTGTGTAATTACTGCAGGGCCTTGTGCTTATGCAGCCGATTGTGAGCCATATATTCGTTCGAGGAGCGTCCTGATTACGCTGCTCCTCCCTTCCGGTTGCTACGTCCTGAACCGCAGCCTGCGAAGTGTTCGTAGTTGCTCCAAAGCCTTGCATGGATGCAGGCGGTTGTTCATGTAGAATTGTATGATGTCGTCCGTGTTATATTCTTCATTTGAATTTGGATTCACACTGCCTTGTAAAATGTCCCGGTCTCAAACAGTTGAAACATATCGATTTTCTTTCGATCCTTATAAAAAATGGCATGTCGTCATGGCATCAACTCAGGAGGTGATCCTTATCAAGAATATATATACTTTATAGGGTCGGAGATGTCTCGGAGAATTTAGTAAATCCAGTGGATGCTTCCTCTTGAGTTTTAATTTATAGATGAAAGATCGGATACGACTCAACTGTGCGGTTTTTGAAGATACAGATAAAAAAAAATTTTATATCAGATACTTTGCGGGTCACATTTGCATTCGACAACCGTATTTTACCTCTTCAGCGCTTTTTTTATCCGACTTGATTTTAATGAATTTTTTAGATGATGTATTTTTTATTTAGGTTATATTGTTGATCTCTATATCACTACTCCAAATCACTATATATAAATGATACTTAAAAATAGAATGGGTAAATCTCTATATATATAGTGTGGATAGTAGCAAAAAGTAAGCTCCTGTTAGCCAATTCCTACAGTCGACAGAGTCGTAACATTTAATAAACCGTATATTCGACTTTCGAATATATATACTTCGATAAACAAAATATTGTCCCTAACTGAGGACAGATTGTAAATAAAACTTCCAAATGTTACAACAAAAAAAATCTATAAAATAGCTTACAAAATTTCGATCCTTACAAATTTGGTAGGCCCTCAAGTGGGCCACTTTGACAAATTTTTTTTTTCATATTTGCGTTTTAAACTTTTTTCAATAGGTGTCATGTGTATCATGAACCGAAATAGTATATACAAGTATATACAAATTCTAAAAATCCCAAGCATCTATCTTAAAAAATACCAAAGTTGGTATTTTTACCAAATACCATTTTAAATTGTTGAGTTATATGGCAGCTATAGGATATAGACGGCCGATCTTTATGAAATTTGCTAAATCGAATTAATTGTCAAATATTATAATCTGTAGAAAGTTCAAACCTTCTATCTTCAAAAGTACCAAGTAAACGATACGGCGTTTCGGAAATTTGGTAGGTCAAAACAAATTGGCAAAACATAAAATATATGGATAATCCAAACCTAAAAACCAAATTATGGTATTACAAATCTTAAAACATACCGATCAATAAATAAAAGTTATATAAGTGTCGCGCCATGTCAAGTGGGCCACTTAAAAGTTTTTTTTTTAATATTTACATTTAAAATTTTTTAAAATATTTTTAAAAGCTATCGATTTTTCGAACAAAAGGTTGTGTAAGTGCTGAAGGGCACTAATTGTAATTTTCCAACTGACGCTTCTCTAAAATAAAAATATTTTTTCTTAATGTAACTATACTATTTTCATGGATAAGTATTTTATATTGTGAAGATCGGACTCATTTTCGACAACACGACAATAGTCAAGGTTCCCGACTTTATTAAACCTGGTAATAATATTTTCCACAAACACTAACCTTTAGAGTTTAAACTTTAATATGGATTCTCAGCGAAAAATTTAGGTTGCATACTTTTGCGTTTGGGTGAAAATAACCCGCTGGAACGAGCGGGTTCCATTGCGCGACAAGTTAAGTTTGAGAAATTTTTCGCGCGACAATGAATGAGGAATAGCCGAGTGGTAGAGTGCTTGGCTGGTGTGCAAAGTCAAACGAGATCAAACCAGGCTCGTGAAATCCATTTTTTTTACATTTTAAATCTATTTATATTATTGTTTTATTATTTTAATGTGTTTTCCTAAATTAATAATCCATTAAAAAAAATACAAAATTGTAAAATCACCTTAACATTGCCTCAGTTCGTAGTGGAACCCGTTGTAAAAATGTCTATAAGTGCGGGTTCTACGGCATTTTGGCAGGCCGCGTCGTGGGACCCGCTCTCAAATGTTTTCATTTTTTCCGTCGTGGAACCCGCAGTAATATTGAAAACATTAGAGAGCGGGTTCCATGCCAAACGGCTGGCAGATGAGAGAGGGAAAGAGAGAATTCTATTTTTAGATCGTAACATCTTTGGAACGATGAAAGTTTGAAACGTTGTAGTCGAACCAATGTAAGAGTAAAGAGATCAGAAATATCTTTTACTATCCTTACTCGTCAACTGTGTTTTTGGTATAGATTCTAGCGCCTCTTTTAACACCAATTTTAAGTATCTTAAAATCAACTTCGAGGTTAGCCTAGATGGATAGTGCGTGGTCCTTATTCATGGGGTCCTGGGTTCGACTTCATTAGCGGGCGGTTGTTTCGATTTTGATAAAGTTGTAGTTTTATGATTCTTTTTATATTTACTTTTATTTTTTTATTATTTTTTTTTTACTTTATTATTATGTTTTTTAATTGAATTCTATTACAATTTTTGTAAAAATAAGTGACGGACGTTTCGGATGACAAAATGCCGGAAGGACTCCCTTGAAATTTTATTAGCCGGACATAATAAAGAACAAAACAATTTTACAATTTGAAAATTAAAGAAAAATATTATAATTAAGGAAAAATAAAAAAAAATAATAATTATAAAAGAACGAAAAAGTTCAAAGTCCTTACGAGGATTTGAACACAGAAAAATTACACATAGATTAACTACTCTATGCATTACGCTACCATCCTGTCTCGATCGGTGGCGATCAAAAATACTATTTGTTCTACCAACTACCACATCGGCGCATCGAAAACAGAAACGAGAAATTGAAATTGAAATTTGGAAGCCAAAACATTTTTACTCCGTCGTGCGAGCAGTCACACATACACACATAGGTTCACATTTTTGTTGACGGGTACATGTAAAGAGTTCTAAAAATAGAATCGTATGCATGTGCGTTTCCCCCCTCACCAACAAGCTAGACGCAAAAAGTTGACCGTTGTGGGCCCTGATGTCCCATCTATGTACTTTATAATCTTTGCTACCACCTACGGCCATACTACCGACTCAGTAAGAAAGCAGAATAAAAGTCTATACCAGTAAAGTTTTTATTTGTAGGGGTAGATAAGCCATTGGTACAGTTTGGCATTAAAACATTTTCCAGAAAGCATAAATGAACTGGAACTGACGAGATTTCCATTTTTGGGGGCGTGGCAAAACTTCGACACAAACATCTGCATGGATGATGCAGAGAATGGGAAAACCACCAAAGATTCCACCAAAGTCAAAAATTCAGTCAATGGCCAGTCATCGACTTAAATAAAAATTCTATGGTTTTGACTCAAGTTTGCACGAGAGAATTAAAAATTTAACACAAAAGAGTTGCAAACTTGCAATTTGGTCCTATGAATCCAAATTCATTCTAAATCAATCAGACGAAAAAATGAATATGTACAATTGAATATTTGGACTTTGAATGCGTATTCCCAAGATATGGTGACTGCTAGATGCCATTTTTTAATTTTAATTGAAACATATACATTTCAAAAATGATATAAGACAAAAAAAAAAATCTAGTCAACACAACAAAATGGTCTACATTATTCCAAAGATGATGTAGTTTGAAAGTTGGCTCAATATTTTTTATTAGGTGTACCGTAGAAACTAGAGTTATGGAACATTTGGACCGTTCAGGGGAGATTTTTTGCTTTCGGACTGTGAAATAGATTAATCATTATCTTTCGCTTGGTATGTCACTCATTCAGATCGAAGGCACACAAATAATAATCCGTTCTTCGGCAATTTTTCATTTAGGATAATAGCTTAAATAATTAACATAATCTTTCATATTAAGTGACGGGGGTCTGGGGGCTCTAACCTGGTGACGCGCAGTGTACTTGTACAAAAGTATTCCGATGTCTTTGTAAGCTTTTAGCTTATAGGTAGCCTCAAAATGAGAGACTTGTTTGCGTGAAAACAGACAGATGGACGACAAGCTGATCCTGATCCTGATCAAGAATATATGTATGTATGTATATACTTTATAGGGCCGGCGATAGATCCTTCACGTATGTAAGTGTATTAACGAAAATTAAAATGTATTAATTTTAAAATCTACTTAACTTTAAATTTGTATTTTAAATAAAAATTAGATAAGATTTATGTAAAATGCGCATAAATATATAAAGTATTATACTTAAAAATTTAATAATGAGACTAAGCAGTTACGTAAGATAAAGAAAACCGTAAATCAGAGGCACATCACAATTCACATTTTTCATTTATAATAGTTGAATCTTTTTCAAAGACAATGACAGTAACAACAAATACGTTCATTTTTTTATTTTTTTTTTTTTGCAGGTAAAACCAGAAATTCACATCCGCCTACAAAAATTAGTGGCTTTCGACTGAGAACCTTTTTGTGCGTCATCACTATAATACGCGAGTGTCGTCTTTTTGTTGTTGTAGGGCCTTAATATTATATTATGCAGTCTTTCTTTTATTGTAACAAAGCATTGATCGATTAATATGCGCACATTCGCATACTGAGCACATAACTACAATCCGACATGAGTAGGCGCCATTTAATCTAGACGCGGAATGCAGTGCTTGTCTGTCATTAATCCCAAGCAAATATCATTTTAATTGTCTGCTGTCCAAAATTTGGATGTGTGGTAATTACTTCACCGTAGGTCACCACAGGCCATTTACCATTAAGCATCTGCGACTGACGTATTGTCTTGCCGTATGTCTGAGGCTCTTCTCCAATCTTTTTACTCCTCTGTTTTGGTGTTTCTGCTGCTTAACTTGAAGTAATGCTGGTGACCAACAACTTCCAACCTGCCTGAAGCGTCGGTACCTGTCAAAGTAAACGCAGACGTCTTCGTAAGTCGTGGTGCGTACAGTTGCAATAAACCAGTATCGATTATAGTTTTTATTTTTAATAGGAGATAGAGGAGATACCATCTCCAATAGGAGATGGTTTCCACAAATATCAAGTTTGTCAAAAATTTGTTTTTATTCTGCTTCCATACTTAGTTTCATCAATTATTATTATACACATAGAATAAGTTTTTAAAGATTTATCCATACCATTTCATAAAGACTGAAAGATATATGCTATAGCTGTCATATTACTAAAAGATAGGAAATAAATCATTTTTCGTGTTTTTGAAGATAGTTTGAACCTTCTGCAGATTCCATTGTTGGCTAATTGATTCAACCTACCAAATTTCATAAGGATCGGCTGTCTATATCCTATAGCTTCCATATAACAAAATGATTGGAAATGGTATTTGATAAAATACCAATTTTGGTCAATCTACTGATATCAACTTTGTCTCCGCCCAATAATAGCTTTCCCTTTTTGTTTTTATACCCTTGCAGAGGGTATTATAACTTTGTCCAAAAGTGTGCAACGCAGTGAAGGAGACATCTCCGACCCTTTAAAGTATATATATTATTTATCAGGATCACCTGAGTTGATATGAGCATGTCCGTCTGCCTGTCTGTCTGTTTCTACGCAAACTAGTCTCTCAGTTTTAAAGCTATCGAAAGCTATTTAAAGCTATTGAAACTTTGCACACACCCTTCTTTCCTTTGCACGCAGTATATAAGTCGGAACGAGCGGGATCGGCCGACTATATCCTATAGCTGCCATATAACTGATTGATCGGAATTGCTATAACTTTTGTGTTTTTAGAGTTAGAGAGTTTAAATTTGACATGAGAGCTATTTTTGGCAAGACATTATGACAAGCCAAATTTTATAAGGATCGGCCTACTATATCCTATAGCTGCCATATAACTGAACGATCGGAAATTACCCAACTTTCGTGTTTTTGAAGATAGAAAGCTTGAACTTGGTAAAGATTATATTTTTGGTCAGTTAATCCGACCTACCAAATTTCATAACGATCGGCCGACTATATCTTACCGCTGCCATCGGAAATCGGAAACGATCGGAAATTTTTTTTGGTAGAAATACCAACTTTGGTATTTTTGAAGATAGAAGTTTGGGACTTTTTTTTAGTTTTTATTTTATTAATAATTGGGTTATATTATTATATTCTCATAAGGATCGGCCAACTATATCCGATGTTTGCGATATATATCCGCTTTTAACTGCAAGGGTATATCAACTTCGGCTCCGCCCGAAGTAAGCTTTCCTTTCTGGTTTAATAAAAAAAAAAAAAAATGCAGTTAATATATAAACAGACGTTTTCTTTAGAAAGTATTTAAACTGGGTCTCGTACGGTAGTCTAAAATTTAAAAAAAAAAAATTTTTATTTTCAAAAACATTAAAAAAATTTGGTTTTGACATAATGATTGTATAACATGAAATGAAAATATCGCGTGTGACATGTGAGTTAAAAAAAACTACTTTATATTTTTAAGTAAAACTTAAAAAATAATGTAGAAATATTAATAAAGCAAATTTTAAAATTCGTTCCAGAAAATTTTTGTCTTTGCGTTTTGCTTAAATCAGTGTTGGAACTGGTTTTCAAAAAAGTATCTTCTATATGGCTCGCGTGGGACAGGCGTAGTTTGGCTTGAATATCTTGAAAACAAAAAGATTCCAAAAATTAAAATTTTTCCCCAATTACAGTGCTTATGAAGAGCTAAGGGATTAACCTTTTTTAACCTGGCAGAGGGTATTATAATTTTGGTCAAAAGTGTGCAACGCAGTGAAAGAGACATCTCTGACACTATAAAGTATATACATTTTTGATCAGGATCACATGCTGAGTTGACATAAGCATGTCCGTCTGTTCATCTGTCTGTCCGTCTGTCTGTTTCTACGCAAACTAGTCTATCAGTTTTAAAGCTATCGAAATAATACGACATACCAATACGATTATAACGATCGGCCGTCTATATCTTATAGCTGCCATATTACTGAACGATCGGAAATGGCATTTGGTAAAAATACAATCTTTGGTTTTTTATAGATGGAAGCTTGGGACTTTTTTTCTGTTTTGTATTGGAATAAACTGGTTATATTATGATATTCTCATAAGGATCAGCCAACTATATCCGGTTTTTGCGATATACCATATATTCGCTTTTAACTGCAAGGGTATATCAACTTCGGCTCCGCCCGAAGTTAGCTTTCTGTTCTTGTTTTAAGTTGAAATGCGTACAAATACTGTATGGGTTCGGCGATGATTCCTTCTCTATGTTAAGCATAGTACTGAGTTGACGAAAATCCGCTGTCCAACGAGTGACAGCTGTCAAACTTCATATAAAAAAAACGGTGTAAAAAAGGAAAGAAGAAGAAATTTTTGCCTTCTAGATTTTGCGGGTACTGAGTTGACGAAAATTTTTGTTATCGATTTTAATGGTGTTGCCGGATCAAAAAAAATAAACAGCTGCTCTCGGGGTGTTAAAATAAATATTTCAATTTATTTTTATAGGTGTGACACGGAGGGTCAATTGACCAAACAAAAAAATAGTCGGCCCGAATAATTTTCGACGCGCCAGGACAAATTAAAATTAATTTCTGCGGTCAAGACGAAGGGATATGGGATTTGACCCACAAGGGGCATTTTAATTCAATAAAATGGCATTGAAATGATTTGTGATTGATTTTGATTTTGATTTTGACCCAGTTTTCTTTTTCTTAATCAGCTCCTTAGCGGCAAAATACATAAACAAAACACCAACATCCAATTGATTTGAATTCATTTTTGCTTATTTGTTTTTTGTTTACAAACAACAGCTGTTCAGTATTACCTTATTTCTTCATTTTTTTGGTCACACTACCTCGGCAGCCGAATAAAGTGCAAAATAGCTATCAGAATTTCAACAGCGGATTTTCGTCAACTCAATACTATGCTTTACATACATTAACACGAAAATAATACTCTTTTACTCTACGAGCAAAACCACAACACCCTGGTCAAGTATTCAATCAGTGGAAGCATAAAATGACCGAGTATTACTCACACAAGTTTGTCACGTTGGCAGCACACAATATAAAGGTTAATTATACCATAAAACATAATAATACTGCGGCATCTGCAAGAATGCTGAGATGAACAAAAACCATTTATTAATTAGGCTGTCAAGGATAGACGTCTCGAACACATTTTTGACGCCGCAACGGTTGACTAAGAAACTTGACGTGGGTCGGACTTTGAAAATTTCATGGGTTTTGCTGAAGTATCAATAATTCGCATATGTGCGGATTTAAAAGTAATATATCAGTTTCTTATCAATCACTTGATGTTGAACTGGTTTGAGCCCGCACACTCATACTAGAGCGTATGTGCTTGCGGGAAGTCTCAAGATCGTCAACAAAAACAATGCCTATTTAAATTTCTAATTCTGATAAATTAATTTTATTCAAAAAGAAAAAAATAACCAAGCCAAAAACTAAAATAAAATCAATTTACGACCGCTTATACAAGTTATACAGGGGTGCCACAGAAAATACAAGTGATTTGGTAACTGAACTTCAAATAAATAAAACATTTTTTGCCCTGACACACAATTCTTAGTGCCTCAGCCTACACAAAAACCATTTTGGCGTTGTTGTAAAGTTTGTAAAGTGAATTGATGCGAAATTTGAGTTGAAGTGTTTTAGTGTACTGCCCCTGATACATGACCGCCGAAACCACTCAGCCCTAAAACACGCATGAATCACTGGTGAGACTCTAGCTCTGAATTTTATAATGAAATTTTTAAACAGGGGACACCTATTTATACCCTTCCAGAAGTATTATAATTTTGGTCAAAAGTGTGCAACACAGTGAAGGAGACATCTCCGATCCTATAGAGTATATATATTCTTGATCAGGATCACCTCCTGAGTTGATATGAGCATGTCCGTCTGTCTGTCTGTTTCTACGCGAACTAGTCTCTCAGTTTTAAAGCTTACTTATCGGCAAAGTTCCAGATTTTAACATGTTCCTGAAGTCAACTTGAACATTCAATTCATGTTTTCAAATGACATCGTT